GGTGTCATGCATTGAATATTCTGCTGGTTGTCGTTTGCATACTTCTGGTTTTAGTTGACGGACACCTCTGTAATGTTCCAGTGGTTTGTGTCTCTGTGAGGCTCGCAGCAGAGAACTGCAGTGACGCCGTGCAGACGGCTCTCTGGAGGAGGTGCCCTTCAGCCCTCTGAAGGTGAAGCTGCATCTGTCCACTCGGTTGTGGTTCTTCAGCTCGGACTTACAGAAATTGTGGGTCTGCGGATGTCTTCTTGTCTCATTCCAATTGTCTCCTCTGTCTGGCAAGACGAAAAACGAAAATCTCAATACAATTCTAAAAACAGAGCGAGAAGAGCCTGATTAACCGGTGAACTGTCACTGGCAAAGTGTGACGTCTCTGTCGTCAGTAATTTGGTCACGCTGTCCTCCTGATCTTCCTCCACAACATTGACATTTTCTGGGATTCAACTGGGAGCCTTGATGGTAACTTTGTGGTCTAATTAGGCCAGTCTCATTGATTAGTTCTCTGTCTCTCTCAGCAGTTTATTATCACCGGTGGCTCAGACCCCTCGTAGGTTTTAATCAGAAATCAATACATACTGGTTTAACGGTCTTTCTAGCAATGACGTCGTCCTAAAGGCTCTCTGCCTTTTGTATAACATTGTGTCAGTGTGGTGTTTGTTGGTCGTAATTCTCATAGTGGTTAGAACTGGGTTTCATTAATATTTTAGAGATAAAAGGCTGCCCACCTCCCCTCCTCGGCCCCTCTTGCTGTAAATTTATGTTTTCTGTGTGCAGGCCTCCACTTGGCCTTTGTGTGTCTCTGAGACATTCTCTGTAAATTATAATGAACCCGCTTAGTTTACATGACTCCGTTGGTTGTAAGAGGGTTCGTGGCTTTGCAAGTAAAATTAACCTGCAGAATGCTTTCTATATGCTGAAGGATTTGACCGTATCGTTTTAAGTCACAGCCCAAACGCTTCCTTGATGTGTGTATTTGATGAAGCTTGATCATGTTTTGACAAATCATCTCACTGATTTAAAAGCAGAAGAACAGAAACCGTTACCGTTGAGTTTTTGGAATCGGTGATCTCCGCATTAAATACAGATTTAGCTTTTTTTCTACTTCATTTAATGACATAAAAACGTCATCAATGACTTTAGTACTCCAGTACTTTCCTCTGTATTTAAAGTATGTGAATCACTCACAAACACAAACACACACACACGCACACAATGATGTACACAGCCTTGGCAGTGCTGCTGCTACACTGTCTGTTTAATCTTTTCCCTGGCGCCACTCTAGCTGAGAGCATTCCTGGCACCCAGAGGCCCGGAGGGGCCGAGCTCTGGGCCGGGAGCAGTGTCACACTTCGGAGCTGGCACCTTGGGTCGTCGTTAACTAAGCGCCCCCCCCTTCTTCCTTCTCTTTGGCCCAAAACGCTCCGCTTACCCCTCCGTTCACGAGCGGAGGATCCTTCCGTGAAGAATGACCTCTTTGAAGGACGGTCTGGCTCCTTTCAGAGGAGATTCTCCTCGCGCTCACTTTCCCAGCGTTGCATCTCCGTCTGGAGCTCCAGACCAAAAATGCCAAATTGGCAGAGGACGTTATTGGGCCGATGTCTGTCCTTATCGTGGCTCTAACCTTTGAGGGCCCCCGGTCCCTGAGAGCGGTGTGTTTTCCGGCTGCTTGTGCTGCAGAGTATCTGATATAAAGGGGAGGGATTAGATCATTGTTGGTTTGTTTCCTCAGGTTACAAAGGATTTTGCTAGTTGGTTTGATGCTGTAAAAGTGTTTTAACAGCCCTGTTTTACTGTAAAGCGTTCAATATTACATTTGCCTCAAGTGAGGCTCAGCGGTTGAAACACTCCTCTCTCTGAAACCTGGAAACATAATAATAAAACTGGTTCACAGACTGACTCAAACTGTTGAATATTCAACTTACCTTGATTTTAAATAGCCTTTTTTATGTGAGCGTTTCACACTTTGCTGATTAACACTCTTGTATTTCAAGGGTATGAAGATGACTATTTAAAACAAATTGAACATTTACAAATATGACACCAAAGTACTATAATGTTGTAATGCGATCCAAAGTGATTAGTCTATTCAAGGATTAATCAATGAAAATGCATATTACTAGTTGATCAATCATTTGAAACAAAATGGAAACTATTCTCCTTAAATCTCTCAAATGTTATGATTTACTTTTTTTTTTGTCACGTATGATATTCAACTGAATAAGTTTAGCCTAAACTATGAACTGCTCTGCCTTTCTCGGGGCTCCCTGTCATGTTTTCCCCTCTTCTATGCAAATCTTTCCCCGTGTACTCAGGTGTGTGTGTGTGTGTGTAGTGCTGTTTGTATGTGTGTTTACAGTAAAGTGCGACCCAGCTCGTCTCTGTACTTTGATTCATCCCCACTTCCTCTGCTGAGGTATTACTGCTGCGCTGGAAGCGCTTGACTCAAAGCAGAAAGATTAAAGCCGTGTCAAGCGTGCTTTTGTCTCTTTTCCTCTGTGACCCACCCGGAACACACACACACACCTCCCCCCCCCCCCCTCCCTTTCCTCCTCCCCTCCCTTTCCTCACCCCCCTCCCTTGGCGCTCTGTGTTTAAACTTGCCCAGTGCCAAAACAGGGATCTGGTAACTTTGGGCCGTGCTGTTTGTTTGCGCAATTCCTGCAGGTTCTGCTCTCTGGCCTCTATCCAGATAGCCCAAAAAAACAAAGCGTCCCATTGATTATTTTAGTGGGCGAAGCTTGTTTTTGTGACACTTTGGATTTTTAAGCCAGTTTTGTGTTTCCTTTTGAGGCCACAGAAAACTGGGAGCCAGCGGTGACATCGACAAAATGATATCGGTCTCTTTGTGACCTTTAGAGTGAAAAACTAATTATTCACTTACAAATACAAATCTTAAATTAATAGCCAATAAAACACAGTGTCTGGGTTAATTATACTCAACTACGACTACAGTATTATGTGGTCTGGTCTGACCAATATGAAGAATAATGGTTAAGCAAACTTATAACAAAAGATATAACAGCTCACTTCTTGGACCTATTTCCACTTGCACTACTGTTACTCTAATACATGCATAATTACACACAATACACACTACTTCCATACACGTAAGCCGTACAGTTTTGTTCAAATTAGTGTATTTATCATCCATTTAAACTAATGCCACTTTTCTCATAAAGTCCATCAACAAATGATGAGACAAATGAATTAATTCAGGGATCAGTCCGAGAAAAACGGCTAAACAACAGAAATTGAAATTAACCAGGGTTCTTAATCCGGTAATGCTAAGAATCACTCCACAGACCTAAAGAGAGCTCAGTGCAGCGTTTAATATCCGTGATCCAGGTCAACTTGTACATTTGTGGCAGACTTTTTCTGTCCGCTGGAAAAAGACTCCATACGTTTTGTGCTCGTTAGCCACACACAGAACTTCCCTTTGTGCTCTTTGTGATTCGGACGGTCGAGGATCGAGTCTGTTTTCGCTCTAAATTCACTCGTCAGTGATCAGGACTCTTCCTGCGGCCGTCAGTGACTTTCAGCGCAGTTTTGGTTCTGTTGTAAATGAGTAGAAAAACAAGCTTTACACAGTCAATGAAAAAAGAATCATTTATGTTTTAATCATCAACATCTAGATCACCAGGCTGACTTGTTTATCTGATTAAAGGCATATCACGGGAATTAATGTAGCGTACGGTCCAAAGATACTGTATAATAGCAGACAAAGCGCTGCATGTCTTCAGTCTAAATGTATGGAAGATAAAACATCATCAGGATCCAAAGATAAAAGACAAGATCTGCTGGGCTGAAAAAGTGCTGTAACTGTTGAATTTGAGACTTGAGGCTTTCAGGAGGGCATGTATAATGAAGCAGCATCTCGGCTTCCGGACAAAGCAAAGAGGAAGGGAGCTGTGAATACGGGCGTGAAATTGCTGATTAGGAACTTGGAATGTATTGAAAGAAAAGCTCTACTTAGTCCTGGCATACGTCTGTTATCTGTTTTGGCACGAGAGAAAAAAAGCAAAACAAAGAAGCACTTGTCCAAGCCACGAATTTGAGCAAAAAAGTGTTTATACTCATTTAAGTGTCAATTTATGAATAAGGTGTGACTGTGAACTGAACCCGGTGATGGAAGAGCAGCAGCGAGAAACTCCACCTGCATCCATCAGACTTACTGCTGGAGCAGCTGCTACGGGTGTTGGTGCTGCAGTTTATTTTTTCAGAGTCAAGATTATTAGTTAATCTTCTTAATTCAATTAATAATAAATAAATGCATAAAAGCATCCTTCCATTTAAAGATCTGATCTGTTGATATTCTTTATCTTTGTTATTACGAACAGATCCCGAGATTGAAAATACTAAAAGCTGGAATGTCCTGAACCCACCCAAGTGTTCAGCAGGAGAATCGATTAAAATGAAGCCAAGATTATTGTTCGTTGTTAATCAGGTGATGTGTAATGAGGAGGTAAACACGGCGGAGAATAATCTTCCTGGCTCAATTTATGCCAGAGCTTCAAATCCATAGAGGGTCAAACAACAGCTATTGAAAGCACATTAATGAACCACATCCGCGTACTTTATAATGAGTATAATGATTACAGGCACTGTAGTTTGTTCTCAGTCTGTCACACGTGCATCATCCTGAGCTAAACAAGTAAAGGTGTGTAATTCATGTCTGAAGAAAGTCTGCCAAAATACAGTAATTATTCTGAGTAAAGCTTGCTAAAAGAAAACATAGTACCCGGCTGTTTTATTGGTGTTTATTCTTTAAAGCATGTATTCATCTTGAAGATGATATATTTTTTTAGAGGTTTTGCTAATAAGTATTGAGAGACAGACTGACATGTTGTAATGTTTTAATTTTTTCAGAAATATAGAGCATAAAAAAAATCACAGTGAGAACATATAAAACTGGCTGTACATTTAATTCCAACCAGAATCATCAACTTCTTCTCAACTAAGTCCATTGGTCTGACATCTGCGTTTCCTCTGGTGTTTCACAGATGGCGTCCACTCCGTATCAGCGCAGTGTCTCCTCCAAGTCACCATCATCACCGATGAAATGCTGTCCAACAGCATCACGCTGAGGCTGGCCAACACCTCCCAGGAGCGCTTCCTCTCCCTGCTGCTCGCCCAGTTCCTGGACGGCGTCGCCCGCGTCCTCTCCGCCGCCCCCGAAGACGTCGTCATCTTTAACGTCCAAGACGACACGGACGTCAGCGCCCGCATCCTCAACGTCAGCCTGTCCGTGGCCGTGCCCGCGCCGGGGGAGGGGCCCCAGCGGGCCGGGGGGAGGCCCGGCGGGGCCGTGGAAAGCGGGGGGGAGTTTTTCGGCTCGGAGGAGCTGCAGGAGAGGCTGTACTTGAACCGCAGCCTCCTTGCCAGGATCTCCTCGCAGGAAGTCCTCCCCTTCGACGACAACATCTGCCTTCGGGAGCCGTGCGAGAACTACATGAAGTGCGTGTCCGTGCTGAAGTTCGACAGCCTGGCGCCGTTCGTCGCGTCGGATACCATCCTCTTCAGACCCATCCACCCCATCGCCGGGCTGCGCTGCCGCTGTCCCGCCGGCTTCACGGGGGACTACTGCGAGACGGAGATCGACCTCTGCTACTCCAAACCATGCGGGCCTCACGGAGTGTGTCGCAGCCGAGAGGGAGGCTTCACCTGCGAGTGCCTGGAGGACTACACAGGTGATTACCGATGAGCCCCGGTTACTGTTGCTATGGCTGCCAAACTTTACAATATCCCACAGCACATGATGCACTTTGCAACACTATCATCAATTGATTGACCGTCATTTCAGTCCCTGGGCTCCCACACAGGTAGATAGAGGCATGGTTTTCATTCATAGTGGGAAAACGCTGAACTTTCCGGTTGAAATGACAACTGTGAGAAGCAGATGCTACCGGCTGGCTGGCTAGTTAACTCTAACCTTGTTAGTTGGCTGCAAAATGTTTGTCTCCAGCTGAGTCGTGTGATGGATACGTGAAATAATGCTACAAAAAGCTGAAGTTTACACGTCTTAAGTTGAAAGTTAGTTAATGATCCATGAAGAAGACTACTGCGTCAGAGAGCCTGTGTTTTTGAATCGCAAAATTAAATGTATGAGAAGTGAAAAGTGAATGAAACATTAGACCTTTTTGTTGGCCGTTTTAGCTTTGACTTCATATATATAATGGCATGTTTCCTCCGCCCGACACCTTGTTGAAGTTTTCCCTACGAGGTTTTATGAATCCAGAACCCTCCGTGTCTGGTTTGCAACAGTTTCTGAGCCATAATTGAACCATCAGTGTTTGAGGCGGGGGGGTTGTGCTCCCTTGTGAGTTCCCACTGAATAATTCTCCCGTCTTCAAACGTCCTGCAACTAAGAGGTGAAAGTGCACAATTTCTGCCGAGTTGCGTCCACATGAAGCCTTCAAAATGTTAATTTCTTCTCCTTCACAAAGGTCCCATGGGGACATTAAAGTCTACATCTGTCCCCGTCACTCCCCTGTGCAGCTCTTTATTGAACCTGGCCCTTTTAAAAGAAAGAAAGCAGAGTGTCCTGTACGCTCTGCAGACAAAGGCTGAGTGATGAGTTATTGATCAGTTGTCACTGCTGCAGTCGGCCAGAGCGGAAGTAAACCGTTGCTGTATTTCTGTACATTTTAAATCTAGATTTAATTAAAGTAATTGGAGCTGAGTGCGAAATAAATGTAGTTGTTTTTTGGTCTTTATAGGGTTTATTTACAAGATCAAGTGGAATTATTATAATCTTTTTAATAACAATGAATTAAGTTCTTGTATTCTGAAAATCTTGTTTTGTGCTATTTAGGCTGCCGTTGAATAACCTGTTATACCTACGTAGTTATTCCCACCTACACTCTAAACTCCCCCTGAGCTGTATACAAGTGGACTGCGTTTCAAAGAACAGCAAGAAAGATGCTCTCTGATGTCTATTTGGCAACTGGGGATTTGAGAGAAATCATTAGTCTGTGAAGAAAAACCCAGTAGTTGCATCGCTGAGTGGGATACAGGAAGGAAAGTATTAATTATGGAAGGCTACAGATGCAGTGTTCCCTTATTGTAAAATGCCCTGTGGTAAAGAAATACCTGAGATAAAAAAAGATATTTATATCACAAAGCACATAATCTGTAGAGATGGAAAGAAAAAAAGCTTCCATTTTCAGCGATAACAACAAATACATTTATCACAGCAGCAGAATTAGTAATTATTCACTCTCCAAAGATGTTTCACCTTCCCAAAGGATTAAAGACAGTCTGCTCACGTATTTTATGGTTAAGGGGGAAAAAGGAGAAATTAGAAAATGCTAAATTATACATTATGCATATTTGGGTAGTTGCCCCATCTTTTTGTTGGGAGGTTAAGTGGGTCAAACCCTGACTTTTTAATGTGATTTAGAGTTTCATCTCGTCTTTAAAGCACAGAGCTACTTGCTTCATCAAAGGAAATAAGTAACGAGTAATCCGACTCAAGAACCGCACTCAAGTGCAGCTTTGAGGTCCGGTGCCACATTATATTTAAACTGTTCACTTTAGTCCACTACATATATTCGCCAGCGTGAGTCAATAGTAACTTTACAGTTTCATATTGTTAATAATAATAACAGATGGCGTACTGATTGTTAATACAAGCTATATTCAATCAATATTGTGTTGTATTGGGACTTTTATTTAAGAATAATATCTGTTCTTTATTCACCACCACCGATTGTTGAAAATTCAGATAAAGCCGTTATATATTGTGAATACTACATATGTATTCTCTTATGGTTGGTATTTATCTTCCTACTTGAATCATTTTGGGGCAGAATCTGTATGTTTATGTGCAGATGTTAAGCAGCTCCTCTCATCTACTCGTCAGGGCTGATGAGTAATCCCTTTACGTTCACTTGTTATAATATCCCATTTCCACGTTAAACCGTTATGTAAAGTAAAACTACTGTTAAATACATTTCATAATGAAACTCCTTTTATAATGAATATATAAACTAAAACGCAGAAAGGGCAGATATACATTCACACGGTTGCCTTTTTGCTTTCTGTAATGGCATCACTTCCATTATTCCTTGTCAAACATTAAAAGGTTTTTCCACCTATTTATGATGCTGTTTGTGAGGCCTGGAATAGTTTCAGGCATATGAATGTGTGGGCTCAGTCACTCAGAGTCCAGGTTGAGGGACACTTACGTGTTCTTGTTCTCAGCGGTGGGTGTTGCAGCTGAACTGTGGGTGCTTTTAATGTGAAACTGCGCAGACAGAGAGCCAATGCGCGAGTGGGTGAAGTGGGCACATTTTTCATCATACAGCAGGAGCCACAACCACCCACATTAATCTCCATCAGCAGAGGGCGCGGACCCAGGTGCCGTTAGATCAGTGCGCAGGACTTGACGAGTTGTGTGAGAGTGAATGTGATTGTGTAGCCGAGGATTTAAGACCAGTTTGAAGTTTGAATCCCGCTGTCAGACCGTCTGATCACGCGAGGTCGTGCCGGCTTCAGGTTTTTATTTGATGTAGTTCCCTCTGTGATCTACAACTCCCATCGTTCTGCCTCAGTGAGCGTTGAGTTCACCAGTCTCCGCACCGTGCTGGGAGGATTGTGTGTGTGTGCGTTTTTGTCAGTCCGAGTGCTAAATTGCTCTCTGTGATTCGGTTGGATGGCTAAGTGCTGAAAAGCTGTGATTATGTCTGAAAGACAATCTGAGGAATGTTTGTGTTAATGGTACATAGAGGTGTGTGTGTGCACATTTGTGCATGCGTGTGTGTAACTGTTGTATCGTAGGCGTTGCCAGATGGTGCAGATGGTGGCAGGAAAAAAGGATACATATATATATATATATATATATAACACAGCCATCATATTTGGTGCCCTCAGAAGGGCCGAGTGAATGATTTGTCTGGTGAGTCATCCTGTAGATGCTGAACAAGATGTTACTTTACTTCTCATGTTTCTCTATCTGTGAAACACATAACGTGAGCAGTACATTTATTTTCCATCTGGATGAAAGTGAGTGAATCGCACCATTCTGCGTCTGTGATGATCATTCATCAGCAAACTGCTGACATGTGAAGAGAAAGTCCCTTTTTGTCTCCCGTAATTCATTGAGTTATCGAGAATCCATTTGTGCTGCTATAATGTGCAGGCGTGTTTTACGGCGAGAACTGGTGAACGCTTTCACATCAGCTCACACCAAAATTGAAATGATCACATATCGAGCCCTGAAAGACTCTTGAATTTGCCTCTGAGAGATGACATGAATAGACAAACATTTTCAGACGCACACATTAGCAGCCAATGCAGATTCCTGAACCAGTTGTAGTAAGTTAAAATCTGTATTCATCACCGTGTGAAACTCAATGGGACAAAAGTGGTGCAGGGATGGCATGTTTTTGTAGGTCAATCATCGACCCGGTTCCCTCGACAAAAAGCCAACGTGAAGATGTCGGGTCCCAGTCATAACTGCTGCCGTAATGACCTCAAACGTTTGGTCCGTTTCCTATATATGTGCTGCGATGAGGAAAGAAGAGTTCATCATAAATCGAGCTGGAGGTCATGCATCTACTCATTGATCAGCTTATTGCATAATTTGCCATCACAAACCTTAATTCTTGCAGTATATCCTTCAGTAATCGCTACACTGACTTCTTGCTCCAGTTAGCTGTGCTTTGACCCGCTTGGTCTGTGCTGTGGTGGAAGAGGATCTTGCTCTCAGGTGGTTGTGGTTGTCATGACGATCCACCCACCGGATGATGCTCACCTGTAACCTGGCAGCTCAGACACACCCACTGATCTCTGAACAAACACCACTTGCACACAGGTTGCGCATAGTGACATCACATCTGTTGATTTATCTCATGTTGAGTCTTGAGTATTTAAGCCATTGGGTTGTTTACTCTTCCTAGATGGTGTTTATAGTGTGGATCTCTGCAGCGATGGAATGAACTCTAATCGCACACATATCAGGCCTATTGGTCCCATTTAGTCTTTTTTTGTTTTTTCACGATTAACTCAAAGAGCGCTGATATGCTACAAACCCATTTAGCAGATAAATGATGATGATTTTTATCGTGGGTTCCAGAAAAACGAGACTATTGTGTAGACAGTGCTGTAGATATCTGGACTCATATTCCCTGTCATAATTAGCTATAATGAATGCTGTAGCTTTTCATTTAGTAGATAGCATTTGGGGATTTTTGAACGTGTCTTCCATCCCGTCACACTTTGATTTTCAGTTTGATTACACCCACGAGCTGACATGTTCATCCAAAGTCATTGCTTCTATATAGTTTTCATGCTATCGATTTATGTTCAAAAAGAAACTCGAAAGTTTTTGTTTCCTGTCTAGATACAAATTGTATACAAACTCTATCTCAGTATAATTTTCTGCCTAAAAGATTGACGCTGGCAGCAAACATAGTGTGGGCTTAAAGAGGGGCAGGAATAGCAGAGGAGACGTGTTTGAATTATTGATGAGGATATTCTGTAGAGTTGTGACTGTGAGGCATCACGCGCCCCGCTGGGCTGCTCACCTGGCAACATGAAGCTGTTGTGGTGGAGACGCCCCACAGGGATGAAGTCAACACGGAAAAAGCATGTCGTCAGGTACACCAGTGAGATTTATATACATTTGCACCAAAATGATCTGTTCAGTATGTATTGTGCACAGTGAAGCACAGCTCTGTTTGCCGACACAATGTTTGAACACTGTGTCTCTTAGAGGAACACAAGAAGTCTGTTGCCTTCAGCGAAACGCTGCATTAATAAGAAGGAAGGCACCTCTGTAGCAGAAAGCGTTATTTCCCGGCCTGGCGGCCAGCGGAGGCTGTTTGTCGTCAGTAAGAAGTCAATCGACATGAGCCGACCATGTGGATCTGTGATTACGCTCCATTTTATTGCGCCTGGAATAGACGCGGCACCCTGACGTGTCATATGTTTTAATAACACTTTAGACGGTGTAAGTAAACTTATGACGTTCTCAGTGAGGCTTCAGGTTGAAATGCAAGTTGTTGGGGTCTTAAGGATCAATACTCCCTTTAAAGCATAAATAAAAATACCTCGTTATTTAGGTAAATTCAGGGGGGTTTTTTCTTTAAATTTCAAGGCGGAAGGATTATTTTCTCACATGTCAAACATTTATCAAATGTCCTTTCTAAATGAAAGCTTTTACCAGGAAAAAGTAAACACTGTATCTTGATAGAAGGTATTTAGCCTTGTTATTACCAAATTTAAAATAATGAAATCATTATTTCTAAACATGAAATAATAATGAATATACTTTTAGAATTTGTATTGCCCTGATGTAAACTGCAGCTTATCATAACTGTCTGTATGATGCTTCTTTCGTCCTTGAGATCTAAAACAATCTTTCAAAATCAAATCAAAAGATATTTAGCTTCATTATCAAAAAGGTCCACGTTTCATTCAGCGTCTCTTGACTTTTTGTTACGACTTAATCGACAAAACTCAACAACAGCGATAAAACAAAGTACCTTTCTTTCACCGCCGTGAATAGAGTGATTAATAGTCAGAGTAAATGATGTCTCAGTGGTGTTGGATGAAGTGTGTGTGTGTGTGTGTGTGTGTGTGTGTGTGTGTGTGTGTGTGTGTGTGTGTGTGTGTGTGTGTGTGTGTGTGTGTGTGTGTGTGTGTGTGTGTGTGTGTGTGTGTCATTAGTCTTCCACTCTGCTGACTGAGAAGCTTTGACACACATTCCAGCACACACATGGGAACACACAGAAGTATACTTGTATTCAATTTTATATGATGGAATTAAATCTGATTTTGAAAGACTGATTATAAGGACTCACATTCATAAACCAGATGTGTTTTGGTAAGGAAAAGGGTTAAATGATGTTTACATAGAGCCGGAATGGAATGTGATTAGCTGATCTTTTGTAAAAGCATTGGGTTTGGGTCACTTTTGACATTATTTTATCAATTTATCAAGAAAAAAGCTATTATGTGATTATATAAATAATCGTGGTCTATAAAAGTGGTCTACTTGTGACTCATTACTCACCTTTGGCTGTCTTTTAAGAAAGGCTTGACAGGTCTTTATTATAAAAATCAATTATACATAGAATTATTAAAAAAATGACAGATGGGATGAGGACACAACTACTTATTTCTGATTGGCATTTTAATTTAAAAAACTCATCATAAAGCTTAATCTGATCATGATCATGAACCACCACAGTCTGCAGGTACGGCAATCATTGCATTTGATGTCTTCAGAGCCTGAATGAATAAACATATAAAGTCCCTGTAATGAGACACCAAGTTGTCCCCCTAAATGTGCATGCAGCACAAACTGTAACCATATTCCCAAGCGGGTGGAGGGGGGGGTGGATAATATTACACCTCTGTAACGGCACATATAGGACCGCTGCAGTGACCCAAAGCGTGCATATAGCAATGTGGAGTCCCCTGGGGGGGCACTGAGGGGGCTCGGGTGATGTGACTTGTCAAAAACAATATTAATCCTCATTTCTCTCCACCTTCCTCCTTCTCCATCCATCTCTCCACGTCCAGGGGAGCGCTGCGAGCTGTCGTCCCGCTCGGGCCGCTGTGCTCCGGGAGTCTGCAAGAACGGCGGCTCCTGCGTCAACCTGCTGGTCGGCGGGTTTAAATGCGACTGTCCGGCGGGCGGCTACGAGAAGCCGTACTGCGAGATGACCACGCGCAACTTCCCCCCGCACTCCTTCCTGACCTTCAGGGGCCTCCGCCAGCGCTTCCACTTCACCCTCTCTCTCACGTAAGCCCTTCCGCCTCGCAGCTAGAAGCTGCAGCGCACCTGACTCACCTGCGCCGCTCCGCCACCTTTCAGTAAAACGCATCCACCCCCGCGTCCCACTTCTGCACACTCTGCAGCTATTCCCTCCAATGAAGTGCCCCCGCCGCACATTTATGTAACCGTAACGCGGAAAAATGGGCTCGCCAAACGAATGCCATCTCCTGTAGCGGCACAGTGGTAACAGATTATACTCAGTGTGCCGTATACACACACAACCTCTGCGCATTAGAGCCACATGCTGAACCGTAGTAGTCCATCTTATTTAAGTCAGGGTCACTGGTCAACGCGTTTCCGCACAGTCGCACTCACTAAGGTCAAGACTGGGACAGGCAGCCCTTTAGATGAATGTCGAGCCATTTTAAGGATTTATTAATTTTTAGAATCTATTGAAAGTAATTGACAGATTTTTTCTATTTCATACAAAGATTTGGTTTAGAAGATTGAAACCACTATGATGTTTGTAGCTGGATTCAGAAGCCTTACAACATGAGAGGGAGTATCAATATTCCCTATTTATAGAAATTTAGTTTCCCAACATATCAAACCTTTCTTTTGAAATACTGTACTGGGGAATAGATAGAGACCATTGCATGTCATATTACAGGGAAGAGAAACACAACTAGACTACAAAGGAGCCTATTTACAGGATTCATAGCAGGAGCTGTGAGCGGTGTCATCGCTAACGCTGGCACTTTCGGTGAGAGCTGGAGGTGCTATCTCATGCCGCAATTAGAATTTTGTAAAAATAGATTACAAGATCTAAGCCCAAGGTTCCTTCTTTTTACAGCGCTGCATAAAAAGAAAAACCTGTAAAGTTTTAAAAGTAGGTAGTTTAACTTCTAGTATATCTGTGTTTTCACCTTGTAGCAGTCCCTCTAAACATATTCATAGATATTATTTATGATTATTTTTCCCATTGATTGAGTATTCTGTTTGATATCTGTCACAACACGTATCACATGTGTCCCGCCATTTTGCTTCACTCATTGTGAAACCCGTCACTTTAGCCGTGTTTGGCGCTCACAATAGCCGTGAAATAATATCCCCCCCTGTGAGTTTTATGGACTCGGCCCTTCTCTAAACGAGACTCGGTACGGCCTTTTTCTGATGGAGAACTGCTCAAACCTGTTTTGAAAATGGTCTTAATTTCAGTGGCAGGCCACAGAAGCTGTGAACGAGCCTGAGAGCCCGAGGCGGGCGACCAGCCGCCTCAGTTACCTGATCGCACTCATCGGGTTCCCCTAGAAAGAGCTTCTGTTATGACGCGCGGCTCCGGATGTGGAACCAAATGTCTCAGAGTGACGGTTGATTTTGGGTCTGTTTCACAGCTCTGGCTTTTGAGCTCCACAACTCGGGCTGTGATTTGACATAAAGGTTCATTCTCTTTTGGGATCATCGTTTAATCTTAATTGAACCAAACTCACTAGAGGCTTGTGAGGCCAAATTCTGGGAGGATTCCTTCTCTTTAGAAAATGCATGTCGGTTCAATATTATATTCTATATTATTATTATTATTATTCAATATAGTCTGGATCGACCCAGTCACATCTTCATCCTTAAGGTCATAAATATTCATAAAAGTATTTATTTCTCAGCACTTTTTATCATTCAACCAATATTTTCTAGCTTCATTTTACACTTGTTTTGAAATCAATAAGGGGCTCGTTTTTTGTTTTTTTTCCTCCCCACTGCACAAATGCATCATGTTAGCATAGCGTGACACGGCCTCCTACATAAGGGCAGACTGGTTGTTATTTTTACTGATGGGTGCCTAATGTGAGACGCAGTGATGCCAGTTGAGGCGGTATTTAGTTCCGGCTGATTACCCTCATAGTTCAGAGGGCTTAGTGGGGCAATGTGGAGAAACCCTTTAAATCGATCCGCCAAAGACTGGAAGCCTAGCGGAGAATGAGAGACTTTAGATCATGATTCTAGATGACGGTCTGTATTTTTTGCTGGATACGTAGACGCCGTCTGAGTGCTCTGCCTCTGCTGTTATTATCAGCTGGAGCATCGGCATCCTCTGTCCTCTGAGGTCATGATTATTGCTGTTCTCAGTAAGCAGGTCAGTGGCGCCGTGCCCCCCGGCTCCTCTTTAGCTCAAGAATACTGCACTAACAGCCTCATGTACGCTACAACCTCAAACCCTGAGGTCTGAAGGAAGGAGGTTGGCTCATGCTGTCTGAGAGCGTGTGTAGATATTTGGATGTATGACTAACATCCTCAGAGAAAAAATATATCTTAATTAAAATCTGCTGCAGCTCCGTTTGGGCTAAAATATTTTCTTTTTTTTTTCTTTCTTTTTTTTTTTTAAAGACTTTCATATTAGTGGAGTAAAAGTCCAGAAATGACAGTCGCCACTGAGCCACACAGGGCTCCCGGTTTGCAGATGTGCACATGAGACTCATTGGTGGGTCACCCGTGGGATGGATCATCAATAAATCCTGTTATAGCTGAATTTATTAACAACTTTTTTAAAATCATAATGAAGTTTCACACCTCCCAATGACCCATTTGCACAGGATCAGATTCATGACCACAGACCACAGGTGATATTATTAAACCATATGATCCCCACATGCTGTGATTAAGAGCGGCACCGACTGCTGTCTGGTCCACAGTCCACAGCACAGACATACTGAGATGTGCATTAATATGCAAGAATCATGCAGTACGACGGCCCTGAGAGATCTGGTTTCCCCATCGAGGTGCAAACAGCCGTCTGTGTTCTCCTCAACGAGAACGTACATTTTGGTTCTGTCGTCATTTCTTCCTGTGTGCTCCTTCTTTACTTGAGGTGATGCGTTCCCACGCGTGCTTCTTTGACATTGCCCTAGTTTTTTGTCTCAATGTGTCATGAAATGTCGCTCCGTGATGTAATGTAATGTAATGGCAGGCAGATTCTGTATTTCTTTGACTCTGTCTGACTGTTCTGCAGATGTCATTTATTTCCCCTCCCTCTGTCTCGGCCTTGTGCTCATGATTAACCTCATTATCTGTTCAGTGCTCTTTGTTGGGTCGTTGTCTACCTGATGGCGAGTTACACGTCACACCGTATTACTGTAGCACCCCACTGTGAAATGTATGCAAGGTAAATATGAGGGACTGGCACGGATATTTTTAAATAGGTCACTGTATTATTTTTGTTCTCTTTTAATGGGAGGCAAGGCCAACAGCAGTGCACATTTCCACCATAGATAGCACAAGAGAAAATATGTTTTTGTTAGGGACTATTTTCAGCAGCGGATGAATACACCTTCTGTACTGTAGTAAGTATTTTGTGGTTCATTTGCAAAAATGGAGGAATACGCTACACATCAGCTTATCACTTATTACTAAGATATGTAACAACAATGTAAAACAGGGTGAATACGGATAAAACAATAATACAGTGGATTGGGTTGTGAGAAATGCATCTTTTTTTTCAGATTTGCAACCAAAGATCCCGATGGTTTGTTACTCTACAACGGCCGCTTCAATGAGAAACATGACTTCCTCGCCATGGAAATCATCAATGAGCAGATACAGCTGACGTTCTCTGCAGGTGGGACAGTTCGTTCATTGCATTCTCAATCTCAATGTCATTCACTGTGAGCGTTTTGTCTGTCTGTTTCCTCGCTATTTTGAGTGTATTGCAGTGACTCACCTCCTTCCCTGTTTCCCAGGCGAGACTAAAACTACGGTTTCTCCGTACGTCCTCGGGGGAGTCAGCGATGGCCAGTGGCACGTAGTGGAGGTGCACTACTACAACAAGGTACGATCCAGAACAAACAGGCCAGATGCTTCTACGGGGGTTTTATACGGCTTGGTTTATAATTACATTTAAATTCATGCAGGTTTATCAAAAACATTTCATTGAATGCTATACTTTTTCTTTAAGTATAGTAAAGTAAATAAATATCTAATACATGTACTCGTAATGTTTCTTCAATTTAGAATCAACTTTGAAGTTTTCTGGTTCAAAGAAACAGTTTGACATTTTTTAAACTCTATGTCTCTATTATGAAGATAATTATCTGATAGGATTGACACCACTCTCAAATCTGTCGGTTTGTTTAACTCAGAGCCAACGTTGCCTTCTCCTAAAATAATACACATGATCTACGATTATTAATCTCACTAATAACACTTTATAGCTTTTGTTTAAGCTGACAAAAACTTTAATTGGAAAAATGACACGTGGTTTTACTTGGGTCTATGTGTTAATTACGTTGCTTTTGAACCTCGCTAGGCAGTTTTTCAGTCTTTATGCTAAGCTAAGCTAACCAGGTTAAAGCTTGATATTTGATATCATCATCTAACTCTCTCCTAAATATATTTCCCAATATCATTCAAAGAAGATCGCTTATTCTGGTTAGTTTTTTCATTTCTTTCCTTTAATTGTTTCTAGCTCACATACCTCTGGTTTAATCACTTGTCTGCTTCGCTCCTCATCAGGTGTGGCAGGAAAATACCAGACATAGTTACCGAAAATAATTAGAATGAAATTTGGGTCACTGGCTCGCCCTTCCACAGGGGACTGAGCGCTTAGTTTTGTTGTGGCTGTCGTGAGAACTCTCTTATCACGTCCGTGCAGACGGACTGTCGTGGAGTTGCTCGTGTAAGAAAGTTGCGCTCCGTCTTCAAGATGCGCTGCTGATGATCATGAAAGAGCCAACTAGACACAGACAGAGGGAGAGACACGGCGGGGGGGGTGAATGAACACAAGTGAGTGGGCAGTCAATGTTTTTCCAGACGTCGTCAGATTGGACTAAATTTGCTTCGACTAATACATTTCTGTGAAGGAACACCACAACAACTCAATCTGTGGAGGAATGTATGGAGCTGTTGTCTCTGCTCGCTCAATACTTTACCACCCAGGACCAACACACAGGATGTCACATTTTAGTCCATTGAGGAGGTCACTTTGCATCATAAAGATGTTGCCAGGCAACACCCCCACTGCTCAAATTTTCTATTCAGTGTCTATAATAACACGGCCGTGTCAGATTTTAGCCAGAATAAGTGATGAAGGGGTGAAATCTTGTCAACTTTTTGATGGTTCTCTGCCCAGAACACATTAGTCTCATGAATCACTTTGGAAGAGAACTGACTTTTGAGCTTTTACTTTTGCTGACTTGGTTTTACATCTGTAACGGTGCTGCATATTTGCATGTCTGCATTTTTCTGTTAATGATACTTTTGCACACGTACAGTAACAAGTGCCTCATGTTTGCAGTTTGATTTGAAGAGCAACTGGTTGAGCTCTCAGACTCATTTGGTGAATGTGTGAAAGTCATCTTTAATGGTGAGCAACAAGAATTCATATCCTGCATTTTATATATGTATATATATATATATATATATATATATATAGAGAGAGAGAGAGAGAGAGAGAGAGAGAGAGAGAGAGAGAGAGAGAGAGAGAGAGAGATTATCATTTGATTTCATAGGTTTGTAGATGACTCATAAAACGTAACTAGTTTACTGATTACTTTGAGTGTACATCTTACTGATGGTACCAAACATCCCAGCGCTGGCTGAACTAATCCTGTAATGTCCCCCATCCTGCGAGTTGCTGAGGTAAAACCCTGGCTCCTCCCTCTGGAGGTGTCCCACAGCGGCCCACTCTGACCCGTCCCTGTCCACGGGGGGGCGGGGTGGGGCATGATGAGGTGGGGAGGGGGCATTTTAGATTGAAATGTGGCTTTCAGGACTGTGGGGGACTGTGGAGAATGGCAATGACCGCTGCCTTTGTGTTTGGCTCTGCTTCCTTTGGGACCACGGGGCAGTGAATGATGCGGCCCCGGGGAAGGTGCCCCTCTCTCGCTCTCTTTTCTCCGGCAGGGACAGAAAAGCGGAGCAGAAGAAGAGCGAAAGGAGGGTAAAGAAAAGCCGAGAGAAGTATTGACTCGGGCTTTGAACGGGGACGCCGCGCTTCAGGGCCAACCCCTCTTGTTGCTATGGTGTTTCTAGTCAATCTCACATCCCATATTTGTGTTGCTTGCTGCAACGCTCCTCCAGCGCAACCTCCGTCACCCCCACGGACGGGGAACTCATATTCCCATAATCCCCCGTAGCGGCGAGCGACAACAGTGTTTAATGTAGTCTTGAGCAAATATGTGCACTTCAATCAGCGCTGACAAGACGAGGTTTTGTGCAGCAGGAAGACAGACAGTCATTATGGGAGAGTCAACAGCCGTGACTGATGACAGCAGAGGTCAGTGAAAGGAGCGTCCAATCTGGAGCGCTGCCTGTTCCAGAGCTTTCACAGGAAAGGGAAAACCGTGGAAAAGAGCATGTCGGATGATTTTCGCCTTTGGCAATTCACACCGCGTGTTTGCTTGTTTCATCATCAACAAATTTGTAACAAATTGGCCTCATGAACCATCAGCTGAAAAGGAAAAAAAGCCACCTTCAGTCTTCCGTCTGCTTAACATTTCTGTGCTGAACAGTGAGTTAATGTTTCGGTGAAGAAGATAATAAGACTTCCTGTGGGAACATTTGCTTGACAACAGGGCCTGTTGAACTAGAAAATGTGTTGAATGTTTCTGATATCTTAGTACAGCTGTCAGCCAATAGAGAGCCTCGGAAAGTAATTATCTTCTTCTGTGACTCAACAGCTTTCAAGTGGGCTTGTGAATCTTGGAAACGGTGATTGAGAGCGATTTGTACTTGCAGACTGAGGAGCAAGCAGGCCAGTTGCTTCTATGGCCCCCAAAATACTGCCCACTATAAAACCATTAGCGTCTTCATAGTATTTATTCCGTATTTAACTGCGTCTGATGTGCATTTCATAACATCACATATATTCTGACATTCGTGCTCCTCAGTGGATGAATCCTGCTGACCGCTTCGGTTTATGAGGCAGAAACTAGTGACCATCGTCCTCAGCTCTACTTTGTGTTTATTGCCAACTGTCAAACTAAGATGGTGAACACCACTAATATTCGTCCTGCGTGATGTTGTCATATTATCATTAATACACTATCATCTACCTCAAAGCACCACTATACGTCCTGTAGCCCGGGTTATTTGTTACGTGCTTTGCTGGTGTTTTGTTATTTTATCCCATTTATTACTTTCTTAGTACGGGACTATAACGTTGTACTCTATCCCTGTATTCTATGTCACACATATTTTAATGTGTCAACCCAACCAGCACGATGAAATTACATTTGTGTTTCAACAAGAATGATCAAGCGAGACTCTGTGATGACAGACAACCGGGTGGTTTAAGGTTATTTATTGTTGCTCTTGTGGGTTTCACATCACTAACCATCATCACTCTGTGATCACGAGACACAAGGTGCGTGCAGGAATGTAACCGACCACGGCCTCAGTTGCAGAGTCATATTATTAGAGTCACAGAGATTTAATCTACTCTACTCCACGAGGAAATCCTGTTTAATTGCAGGAGTGCCGTCCTTAATATACTGCTTGGTGTGTTCTTTCTTAAAATTCCCCCGATGAAGCTGCCAAAGCTTTTTCACTGGTGTTGTTTTTAAATGAGCTTTTAAATTAAGGGATCAGATGAGCTGCCGGTGAAATAAAAATTCCCGTATTCCCCTGCAGACCGTGGCAGGGATCTATTTTAGTTAAAAACGTCAAATTAAAAAACAAACACATAATGTGTTTTCAAAGCAACCAACTCTTTTATATCATCTCTCCACATGATACAAGCTAATTCCTGCTAAATCCTGTCTGACCAGCTGACGGCTCAGCGGAGTCACTCGCCTGCAGGCCGGCCGGCCGGCTGTGAGCTCTGCGACGCCGGGCCGAACCTCCACTCGGGGTTAACGTGTGCTCTACGTGACCTCAGAGAAACCGGCCGGTTTGAAAAGAGGTCACAACCTTTTATTGACGGGATCATCATTCTCTCCCCCGCCGACCCCTCCTCCTTTTGTTGCTTCCCCCATTGATTCCTCAGACAATGAAGAAGATCCTTTGTCGACAGGGATCACCTCCTGTGTGTGTGTGTGCGTGTGTGTGTGTGTGTGTGCTTCCCAGCCGCTGCCTTTTGGCTGGATGTGTTACGATATGAATTATTCAAAATATTCAAAAACAAAGCAAACGCTGAACTGGGAGTGAATGAAGACTATTTATTTTCAAAGCTGCTTTTTCTAGTTTTTTATTTTCTGCACCGCTTCATGGATTAATCCCGTGTTAAACGCAGCAAAATAATGATATGTTTTCACAATGCTATTTTTTGAGTCCTATTTATAAATGCTTGTTGACCAAAATACTTAAAAATAGCAGCAACGGATTTTGTTTTCCAGTTTTTTGTAAAACTTTATGTTTAAAACCGGTGAGTTCTCACATTCTACAGATACTCTGGGATGTTTAGAGATGAAAACACTGTGTTCACCTGAATTAACGATGAATAATTAATTGAATTCCCTCAAACATCGAGATTGTTTGGTTAGATCCTTGAAAAAGAAACCTAGCCGTACATTCGAACGATCTGAAGTGGCCAGAAAGACTTGTGTGAATAACAGCGGTGCGCATAAAGACATTGTGCATATCGTCCATTGTTTGGACCAGCGCCTCCCCAGAAACATGCGGAAGGCGCTCCTTAATCAATCTAGATATTCATTAGTTTGTCTCTTGCTCCACAGCCGATCTTGAACCAGGCCGGCCTGCCGCAGGGACCCTCGGACCAGAAGGTCGCTGTGGTGACGGTGGACAACTGTGACGCCTCCGTGGCCTTCCGGTTCGGTCACGTGATCGGAAACTACACCTGCTCCGCTCAGGGCAGCCAGTCGGGATCCAAAAAGTGAGTCCACCAAATAACATCAAAATGTCCTCTGTGCCGACCGCAATAATTTAACTGATTACTTTGTTTCCTCATTAAAAGGGAGAGTAAACTTGTTTTGAGACGACGTTCCACATCTCCGGGGTGCAAAGCTTTGCTTTTCCCCTTCATTGGGATGTTGATCCTTTTTTCTGTTACCATCGCCGGGGGGGGAAATAACACTGTAAAACCCTCTGTGATTAATGTTTCATGCGGGCCGATGATGTAACGGCAGAGCAAAAAGCCTCGGGTGTGTAAATGTTTTCTATGTTTTCAGATCTCTGGACCTGACCGGCCCCCTACTCCTCGGCGGCATTCCCAAGCTCCCGGAGGACTTTCCTGTTCGCAGCCGGCAGTTTGTAGGCTGCATGAAAAACCTGCGCATCGACAACCAGCACATAGACATGGCCGGCTTCATCGCCAACAACGGCACTCTGCCAGGTAATCTTTGGCCTGCCGGTTGGCACCAAATGTTGATGGAGATGATGGAATACTGAGGTCGGACTAAATGAACCTCTTATTTTTCACCCCTTAAGGATGCTCCGCCAAGAGGCACTTCTGTAACAACGACCCGTGTTTGAACGGAGGAACCTGCGTGAATCTGTGGGGCTCCTTCAGCTGTGACTGCCCGCTCGGATTTGGTGGACAAAACTGTGAAAGAGGTGAGTCCAGTAGAAAAGTCGCATTGAGACATGTCTGGCATTTTGACCGTGAGACCTGGAGGTTTTTCTGGATTAGTTTGTGTTGAACCCTTTTAAGTCCAATTGCTTTTTGGCTTTGGAAGACAGACAGCGGTGTTCTCCGGTGTCTGGTTTCAGTTCGGCGTTACACAGTGCAGCTGCTATCTGTGCTGATTTATGGTTATAAAGTGGAAGAAGAAGGAGCCCTGCAAACGACAACAACTCTGGTGTTCAGCTTGAAATAGGAAAAAAGTCGGGTGATGATTTTTCTTTCTTGCAGACCAGATAGAAGATGGATATCTTTTTGAGCATAAAGTGGGATGAACTTTTGTTAACGAGTAGATATAATCAACAACAACTCGGGAGCAATCATCAACACAAGAGGGGCCCTTTTAAATGCAGTGGTTCTACGTGTGTGTGTGAGTTGATGTGCAGCTATAATGATAATTGATGAAGGTGGTGGATCTTGCTTCTCAAATGTGGAGATTGTCTGCTTTTCTTTTGTGTTAGTTGATAGTAAACTTTGTTTTTTGTAGACTTACATAACAAGCAACTTGAATCCGTCCAATCAGCTTCATGAAATTGAAGGGAATTTTTATTAGTTTTATTGATATTGAAAATAATCCCCTAATGTGTGTGTGTGTGTGTGTGTGTGTGTTGAATGTGCTGCCATAGATACTGATCCTTTGGCCTCTTCTGGCCACAATTCAGCATTAACTTTATAAAATAAACAATAAGAATATGAGAATATGTTGATTGATGGGAACCGTTGGACTGAAATAGCACTGCAGTTTTTTCTGTGCTCCCTCCAGCCAACAGCGACGTGTTCATCAGGTGTATTTGCCATCACTAATCGATCATTTCGATCTGGTGCTTTACTTGACTTTGTACACACAGTGTAATGAAAGGGAAACCGATTCACAGCAGGCAGTGTCCTTTCCTGTCACTTTGTTTTCACGTTTGAAAGAGCCGGAAAGCTTCTCAGAGTCGATGCATGAGTGCACAAACACTATGACTTCCTTCTGATTCGTGCACTGCACATATATGACTACACTCTACATTCCTACACAACCAAGTTAGATTAGAGTTTTGTCGAAAAGTCTACTGTAGCTGCCTCATTGAAAAATACAAAATGTTTTGCCCTCAGAGTAGTCGTAATTTCTGCTGCTAATTTCTCCACTTTCTTCAACTCCGATTTAAGATGAGCACCAAAAGTGTTCTTGTGTCAAACTGCACATCATTCTGCACAGTTAAGCTCAAACATCACATTCAACACACAAGAACATAACACATTTTCAACTGGAGGGGGGCTTCATGTTGTGTATAATGTGTACCCCTATGTACTACATTATCCCTCTGAATTAACAGCACAGACGTTTGATCAATAAGTCAATCATCTGAGCTTTCTGATTTGATTTCACACATCCACAGATTACCAAAATAAAATGTCTAATAAGTAGTGAGAATTCATGTTGGTTTTTTAAAATCTGTGATCACATCGCATGCTGGAGTTAACAGTAATGACTCACTGCGAAACTCTCTCTGCTCAATTATCTTCACCACTTTTGTACTCTCTCCTTCTAGTCATGGCAAGCCCGCAGCGTTTCCTGGGTAACAGTGTGTTGCAGTGGAACAACATGGCGGCGGCCGCGTCCTCCGTCCCCTGGCATGTAGAGCTCATGTTCCGCACACGTCAGGCCAGCGCGACGCTGCTGCACATCTCCGCAGGCCAGCAGCACAACCTCACGCTGCAGGTGAGAGCAACAAGTCCTAAAGGAGAAAGTTAACTAGAATTATTATGTTATTTCTTAGTCCTTCCCTCCTAATAGCAAAGAGCCATAACTTCACTTCTTCAATGGGTGCAAAGTCTAGTGAGGCATCTTTTCCTAAAGATCAAACATTTTAGGACTGAGGCTCCACCTATTGGCCATATGAGTTTCAGCACATCCAAATGCTGAATCTCTCATTGAAGCAGCTGCTTTTGAGCTCGTCTAGACTGACGCATGCCTGATGTTGCGTAACTGTACTATATTCTATTTCTAGCAATTCAACGTTTGAACCTTGGCAGTTCCTGTTCATCGTGTGATGCATTGCTAAATCCTGGTGCTCTATTTTCCTCCTCTGGTATCAAACATCGTCTCAATCTCCGTCCTGCTGATTCCACTCTTTTCCCGCCTCGCTCCCTGTCGCCTCTGTAGCTGCGCGGGGGGAGTGTGCTGATGGGGCTGCACAGGGGGGAGGACTCGACTCTCTCCCGTGTGGAGGAGGTCCTGGTGAACGATGGAGACTGGCACCATTTGCAGCTGGATATCAGCAGTCTGGAGGGAGCAGCAAGCCACCACAAAGCAGTGCTGTCTTTAGACCAGGGCCTTTACCTGGTGAGTTGGCGTTTCATCCCTGTAGATGAATTAAGATACTGTAGCTTGGCAGCAATAAAGTCTGTACCTTTTCAGGCCAGTATGGAGGTGGACGGGAAGCTCCGAGACTCCAAGCTGAAGACTGTGAGCGTTGGTGGTTTGGAAAGAACTGATGGGAAAATTCAGCATGGCTTCCGTGGCTGTATACAGGTCCGCGAGCTCACTTATGTCTTATATGTGTGCATAGATATTAAAGGTCTTCTACTCTATAAAGCACAACACAAGCACAATATTGAAAATTATGAAATGTATTTGAATATATACAATTGCAGTCATTAAAAATCAGTTGAAACCTGACAAAAAAAACTCAATCACTTTTCTACCAGATTTGATCTACTGTCTTCTTCACTTGCCCTTTAAATGAGAATCTTGCTTAAACGACGGTTTTAACTGCTTGAGCTTATGATGCAGGGTAGATGGCCATTTTGTAATACTATAACACACAAAATGTTTACACACAGGCACTTCTTTGTGTTTCAACCCATCGAAAACAGCAATCTTGTGCTTAAGAGAACATTCCTTTTCCCCCCCAACAAAATGTTTATTTGGTTCTCCTGCAGGGTCTGCGTGTGGGCGGAGCTCTGAGTCTGTCTCAGGCGAGGAAGGTGAACGTGGAGGCGGGCTGCAACGTGCCCGACCCGTGCAGCTCCAGCCCCTGTCCTGCCAGCAGCTACTGCAGCGACGACTGGGACAGCCACTCCTGCACCTGCCTCGCCGGTCCGTCCGCTTGCACTTCGCCAACACAATCGTAAAACATTCTGCAGGGCTGAGCGGTTACTTTAATCCGATGTGTAAATACGGTTCACAGTGTTGTGAGAGCACAGCAGCTTATTCTTTCTTTCCACCTTTATTTCACAGGCTACTATGGCACCAACTGCACCGATGCATGCTCACTGAACCCCTGTGAGCACGAGTCAACATGCACCCGGAAGCCAAGCTCCTCTCGTGGTTACACCTGCGACTGCCCTAAGAACTACTTTGGCCGTTACTGCGAAAAAAAGTAACTTTTTTTCAACGTTTATGTAAAACCCTGTATGTTTTTGTGTGGCGTGTTGTTTTGTTGCTCTGCAGGAGAAATAATGCTGTACTTGTGTGTGCAGAACCGATTTGCCGTGTCCCAGAGGCTGGTGGGGTCACAAGACCTGCGGCCCCTGTAGCTGTCAGACAGACAAGGGCTTCGACTCTGACTGCAACAAGACGAGCGGAGAATGCCGCTGCAAGGTGAGCATGTGCCCGACCTGCACCGACCGAGACCGCTAATGGAAAACAGATTTTTTTGTTTTTCAATTGATAATCAAAAACTTTGTCTCTCCACTCCACAGGACAACCACTACCTCCCCGAAGGCAGCGACACCTGCCTGCTGTGCGACTGCTACCCGGTCGGCTCCTTTTCCAGAGCGTGCGACCGAGAGAGCGGCCAGTGCCAGTGTAAACCCGGCGTCATCGGGCGCCAGTGTGACCACTGCGACAACCCCTTCGCTGAGGTTTCACCCAACGGCTGCGAAGGTCAGAATGAATCCGATTACTCTCAGGTTATTACAATGCTTAATTCATAGGCCCCACTTTATTGTAGCTAGAAATATATTAAATATATTAAATCTCTCTCCCTCCTGCTCCACCTCACTCAGTGATCTATGACAGCTGCCCTCAGGCCATCGAGGCCGGGATCTGGTGGCCCAGGACTAAGTTTGGTCTCCCTGCAGCAGTTCACTGTCCCAAGGGAACTCTCGGTATGATGTTTTTTTTTCAGGCTGCCCATCAAATGACCAGTATAATAATATATAAGCAGTATATTAAACTTGCCTCAAGCCTTCTCTCCCCGCTGCAGCTCCACTGTTTCTCAACTCCCACGTGGTAACTTTCTCCCCCTTTCTTCAGGCACAGCGATCCGCCACTGCGACGAGCACAAGGGCTGGCTGCCTCCCAATCTCTTCAACTGCACCTCTGTTACCTTCAGCAAGCTGAAAGCCCTGGTGTGTGGCTTCTCCCTCCGTCTTATCTTTTTAAATGAACCTTAGGATTCCAACAATAACACCCTCATTTGTAATTGAAATTGATATTTTTCAGTTCGGTTAAAAATACCTTTTACTCACGCAGCATCAAAACGTAAATTAATGATTATCCTTTCCTCCCTCCAGTCTGAGAAGTTTTCCCGTAACACGTCGCTGCTGGACTCTGGACATGTCCAGCAGACGGCCGCCATGTTGGCCAACGCCACCTTGCACACGGAGAAGTACTACGGCAGCGACGTGAAGGTGGCTTATCGGCTCACGCAGAGTCTTCTGCAGCACGAGAACAAGCAGCAGGGCTTCAACCTCACAGCTACGCAGGACGTCCACTTCACTGAGGTGAGCAAGCGTGTATCTCAACAATAAACAACAACAATGCATTGTTGCCGTTTTGGCAACTGTCACTGTCAGCTGAACTCTCGCTTGTTTTCTGACAGAACCTGGTCCGCGTGGGCAGCGCCATCCTGTCTCCGGACACACGGACGCACTGGGAGCTGATCCAGCACTCGGAGGGCGGCACGGCAGCACTGCTGCGCCACTACGAGGAATACGCAAACACACTGGCTCAGAACATGAGGCAGACCTACCTCAGCCCCTTCACCATCGTCACACCACACATAGGTGAGAGGCTGGGAGGACCCACGAAGGCTGTGGGCCGCCGGGGATCCATATTCCCAACGTGCAGTGGGTGCATATGCTGTTTTGTCGGTTTGAAAAAATGTTTATGATCAGGACAACATCGTTGGAGTAATTAAAGAACAGAAAGCAGATAAAATAAATTAGAAATCGTAATCATATTATTATCACAATATAAACACATAATGTTTTTCCCCACAGTCATTTCTGTGGATCGCCTGAAAAAGATGAATTTCGCTGGTGCCAAACTGCCGCGGTACCAGTCCCTGAGGGGTCCTCGTCCTGCTGACCTCGAGACGGCCGTCACGCTGCCCGATTCCGTCTTTCAACCACCGGTGGACACTAAAGGCCACAGACACCTGGATGTCTTCCCGGAGTCGTCTCTGAAGAACCGGTCAGCCAATAGGAAGAGACGCCACCCTGATGACGACCAGCCCGACGCCATCGCCAGTGTGATCATCTTCCACAGCCTGGCCTCGCTGTTACCAGAGAGCTACGATCCAGACAAGAGAAGTCTGCGGTAAGAACAATTAACTGGAAGCAAAGACAACGGTGTTACGGGTTATTCTTCTGTGCCATTGACCTCTAAATCATCCAACAATGTTCCTTTGTTAACATCAACACGGTGCATAGCTCATCAAATATGTATTATTCCACTGCTGAAAATATTTACTCTTGTTGTAACTTACTGCCAATGCGTTTGGGACACTCTATACTTTTGACCATTTTTCTATAGATTCAGTTGGAAACAATTCATGCCTTTGATCGTGTATTTCTTTTACGTTGTCTTCAGGGTGCCAAAGCGTCCGGTCATCAACACGCCAGTGGTCAGTATCACTGTCCACGACAACGACGAGCTGCTGCAGCACGCGCTGGACAAACCCATCACCGTGCAGTTCCGCCTGGTCACCACCGAGGAGCGCTCTAAGCCCATCTGTGTCTTCTGGAACCACAACATACTGTGAGTACAGCAGAGCTCTCGGGATTAGTGAAGAAGCGTGAAGTTGTGGTATTCTTACATTTTCCTCTGTTGTTTGTGCTTCGTGTCAGGGGCGGGAATGGCGGCTGGTCGGCGAAGGGCTGCGAGGTGGTTTTCAGAAACGGCACCCACATCAGCTGTCAGTGTTATCACATGACCAGCTTTGCCGTCCTCATGGACATCTCCAGGAGAGAGGTGAGTGACGCGAAAGAGTCCCAATAAAACCACGAAGATCGTTATTCTGTGACTCGAACGTCTCTCTTCCAATCGTCAGAATGGAGAGATCCTGCCAATCAAAATCCTGACGTGGAGCACAGTGGGAGTGACGATGGGCTTCCTCTTCCTCACCACGATCTTCCTCCTTTGTCTGAGAGCCATGCAGTGCAACAAGACCAGTATAATCAACAACGGAGCTGTTGCGCTCTTCCTTTCCGAGCTCATTTTCATCCTGGGCATCAACCAGGCAGACAACCCGGTAATCAATCTGTTCTCCGTCTATTCCACTTAGTGTTTCCTCCCCGTGTTTTAATCTTCCCTCCGTCTTCCAACCTGATGTTCTCTCTGTGCAGTTTATGTGCACCGTCATCGCCATCCTGCTGCACTTCTTCTACCTGTGCACTTTCTCCTGGCTCTTCCTGGAGGGTCTGCACGTCTATCGCATGATCAGCGAAGTGCGAGACATCAACTACGGACCCATGAGGTTCTACTACCTGATTGGCTGGGGAGTACCAGCCTTCATCACAGGTCCGGACCTTCACAAGAAACTGTATCTTCTGTACACATTTAAATCTCTAGCAGCAGCCCCAAACTTGGTGGTCATGACTGTCATGCCAGTTATGCAAATCTACTATATGATACTATACGATAATGAGGGAAAATGTGTTTCACCTTTTATTTTCAATTTACACAAAGCAGCTGACCTCATTTGGTGGCATCGATCACACAGCTTCGTTATCCAACACACTCACTGCGTGAGTGACTTAAGTCACAGTGAAAATTACAGTGTTAATACGTGAGACACCTCCAGTAAAGTGTTCTGAGAGCTGGCAACTTTAGATGAACAGCTCTCTTGGAACCAAAGAATGTTTACACACACCGCAGCTGTCATCTGACGCCGCTGCGTGTCTTTTGGGGGGTTTGTCTGCAGGTCTGGCAGTGGGACTTGACCCTGAAGGCTACGGGAACCCAGACTTCTGTTGGCTGTCCATGTACGACACTCTCATCTGGAGCTTCGCCGGGCCGATCGCCATGGTGGTGTCGGTGAGTCCCTGTACATCCCTGAGATCCACACTGTTGTTTGAGCGGAACTCCGTAAACGCGCTCCAACGCGGCGACTCAAGCCGACCTCGTCAGAGCGACTCCAGAGAGTAAACACGCCCTCCGCTGTCCTGACGGGGAGATTAGTTTGACGTTTACTCTCAAAATCTCCCGCCATTTTGTAAGTTGTGAAGCCGTTTGATTAATGTGTCCACAGATGAACGTCTTCCTGTACGTCCTGTCGTCCAGAGCGTCCTGCACAATGAGACACCACAGCATCGAGAAGAAGGAGCCTCGTGTGTGAGTCTCCCAGCGGCTCCATCAAATATTAATGTTGACTCAAAGTCACTTTGCCAGTCAGCTCAGCCTGAAATTGCGAACTTTCCAATCAAACCACTACAATTGGACAAACAACCAATTTAAATAATGTCAATAACGACATGAAATCAAACCACTCCTTTGATCGCTCCAAAAACAACAGCTCAATAATCTGTCATCCTGGCTTCTCTCTCTAAACTGAATCAATTCAGCTTTTGGACTTTGAGGCAGATCGGATCATGAAGACTCAATACTTGCTGCTGTTCAGGGTTATTTTTACGTTTTTTTTCATATTTCAAACCATCGGATCTTTTGTGGAAATAAGTGTTCCACAATTTATTGCACAACAGCCTGTTTCCGGTTGCATCCGATGGTGCCATTAGGGCTACGCTTTGCATTTCTACAGCTTTACATTTCCCTGCAGCTACGTGGTCATGTTTCCACACAATGTGCTGCTCTGTCTCTACGTTTCTAAGTCAATAAATGTGTGCAAATCATCCTGACGGCACCTCACTACCTTCTCATGTGACTCTGCAGCTCAGGCCTAAAGACCGCAGGTGGCGTTCTCCTCCTGGTTTCAGTCACATGTTTTCTGGCGCTCCTCTCCGTCAACAGCGACATGATCATCTTCCACTACCTGTTCGCCGGGTTCAACTGTGTTCAGGTGATCCACGCAGTTCCCCCCCACCCCCGTGAAACACTTTGAATGGTTGATTTCTGTATTTCTTCTCTTATCCTCGTCCTTCTTCTCTCGCCCAACCGCAGGGTCCGTTTGTTTTCTTCTTCCGCGTTGTCTTCAATAAGGAGGCGAGGAATGCCATGAAATACTGCTGCAGCCGCAAGCGCCCGGATCATATGATCAAATCCAAGGCCTCTGTGAGTCCCTCCGCTCTGTTCAGCCAAGCGCTTTAGTTAGTTGCATTTGTCACTAAAGATTTAGATATTGCAATGTTTCTCCCAACACAAACTATCCCATAACACAAAACCGTTGAGGATAGCAACGTGTTGACATATATGTGTTGACTTAAATAATGAGGCTGGCGATCTGTATTATTTGTATTCACAACAAATCCCCAAGGCCAAAACCAGCAGTCAATTGGTTCCACTAACACGTTGTGCCTGTGTATCCGAAGCCTGTAATGTCTTACACTGTGCGCCCATTGTTGACAAAAAATCTATAAAAAAGTAGAATCATAACATTTGTAAACAAAACAACAGTGTACATTTCTAGAAGTAGCTCACAGAAGCCGCATGCTCCCTGTTTACGCTGTTTGAACAGCTTTTTAATCCTTAGAAACGCTGAACTTTCCCTTGTTTCTCTCGTTTCAGGGCTACAAATGCAACACAAACTACATGGACGGCCGATTGTACCACCTTCCCTTCGGAGACTCCAGTGTGTCCCTGAACGGCACGATGCAGAGCGGCAAGAGCCAGCAGAGCTACGTGCCGTTTGTTCTCAGGTAGTCAAACGTGAATGAAAAATGAATATTCATTTGCTGAATGATTTCGACCGTGACAGGAGGGGCTGTAAGCCGATTTCTTGTGTCCTTTCAGGGACGACGGGTTGAGTAACAGTCAAGCGCACATCGCTCTGAACGACCATACGTCCCTCTTCCATGAAACGAAGGACCTGGACGGTATTGCTCTCATTCAGTATCTCCTAATTAGCTTCAACTGCAACCATCGGTACGATGTCTTTAAACCTCTCCCCCGTGTCTGCGTGCAGATCATGACAGCGACTCGGACAGCGACCTGTCGCTGGAGGATGACCAGAGCGGCTCCTACGCCTCCACACACTCCTCCGACAGCGAGGACGAGGAGGGGCCACTCCCCCCGGGGGAATGCTGGGAAAACATGGCGTCTAACGTCGCCAATAGGCCGCATCCACACGGTGCAGGTGCTCATCTGAACCCTCTCTTTCGGTGCTTTCTGTGATTTCTAAAATCATCAAAGACTCTTTAAACATCGGGATAAAACCTTTTTAGGATGGAATGTGCCACTTACATGTGTTTTGTCCACATTTCATTTTTTCTTTTTTCAGACAACAGTTTGGGCAGGATGCTCTGGCCAGCAGATTACTCGGCCGCAGCGAGTGATGGCGAGGTCGCGTGTGCGGACAGAATGAAGCCGAACATGCCGGCCAATCCAGAGCCGAGTCCTGGCTCTGACACGAGGATGTTTCCGGACAGCCAGACGCAGGATGCCATGACGGTGCTGCTGCCCAGCATGCCAAACATCTATGCCAACCCTCACAAAGGTAAAGAGCTGGGAGACTAGAACGTATATACAACTTCATTTGCTTTTTAAATATTTTTGAGAAAATGTCCTTTCAGTGTGGTCCATGTCATAAAGAATCAATATAAATAAGTATAATAACTTGTAAAATGTCATTATTAATATTAGTATATTATATTATTATATATAATTTATTATTGTATAAAATAATCTTAAAAAGGCATACATACACAGAACGTAATACAATGTGACAAAATGTCATACAAAATATATTAAAACGATCTGGATTTTCTATATCTATGTATTAGGAAAAGCCAATGATGACTTTCACTGTACCAAAAAGATGACAATGAAATAATACATTTATGATGACATTAACATGTTTTTGTGTTCAATCATTTTTCACAACATGCTCCATCGCAGAAAGAGGTAGTTGTATAACATGTTGTAAAATATGTAAAAGGTTACAGTAAAGTATGTTATAAGAAATGTCAGTTAAAATTATACTAGTGTATGTTTTACAAAAGTATATATATATATTTTATTTAAAAATGTCGGAATCTAGTCATTTCATGAGAAATATAAAGTATAGAAGCCCATTGTACAGTTTGTCAGAAGAAATATCACATCAGAAGTCATTATTTACTATGTCATGAAAATTACAGAAACATTAAATCAGATTATATTCACACCTTCATCCTTTTGCAGGGATCCTAAAGAAGAAGCAGCTTTCTCCCATCGTGGAGAGGAACGGTCTCAACCGCATCCACAATGAACTCTGTGAAACCGCTTCCGGTGCGACGTCTCCGCAGGGGTCCTCCTCCAGCGACAGACGAGCCGGCGCCGCAAAAGGCGGGCTGAACGGAGTCGCCGTGAGCATCAAGGCGAGGACGGTGGACGGGGACTCGTCAGGATCAGAGTAAGTGTTAACGAAAGCGATCACCTATGGTGATGAAAAGCACTATTAGATGCTATTAGTAACCAAAAAGAAGCATGTTTTTCTCTCCCTGTAATCGTCTCCATCGAGTGTCGCAGACCTCATTTTGAGTTTAATCTGCTGTCTCAGTCAAACCACAGTTTGTCAGTGATTGTTGTTTTCATTGCTTGTGGTCCGTCTCATTTCCACTTAACTATCTTAAATGTTAATGTTAAACCAAAAGAAGACAGCACCCAAAACGTTATTGTTACCCGCGGGAGGAAAGGACCCCACACAGCTTTACTGGGGTTTAACACCCACAGGAAGTTCACATTGCCAAAACAACATGAACGGCTGATTAACAACATGCGGGACTGGTTACTTAAACTGGTCCATCCACTGATCTACATCTGATATTGATGTTATACTCACTGTAGCGTATGCAAACAAATCAACATATCGTTGTGGACGAAACTAATTACCAGCAAACAAGGTTTGTGGAGTTTCCCACATTTTAAGCTACAAAGGCCCAAAATGAAGAAAATGAAGGCTTAGATACTGTATGAGGAACTGCAAATGGGTGGTGAATATAAAGTATGGACAGACTTGTACTGTATGCGTGATTATACTCATGAGTCGCTTAAAGGTATATATATATATATATATATGTATCACAAGCACAACACTCAATTCCCGAAGTACAGGAATATAAAATAATTATAAGAATAACTTGTAGGTACTAATTAACCTTCTTTGCCTCTTCTCTCTTTCCAAAAATCATAGATTTTTATTTTTTAATTTTATCCCATGAAGCTTTGATCTTCAGGATCATTGTCTTTGTATTGGTGCATCATTTAAGCATCCGTCACTCTTCGCTGTGTGTTTTCTATGTTTAAGTGTCTCATTGTCCCATGTTCATTTTCTTTGTCCTTTTATCTCCTTTCTCATGTTGTGCCGCATTCATCACATCCATCATCGCATCAACTCATCCTTCTCCATCCATCATGACTCCGCCCACCTCCTTCTCCGCGTCCGTTGTTGTCGACCTCCGTGCACCACCCTGGTTCTCTCGGCAGCGACCGCAACACCTCCGTGTGACGGCGCTGACGAAGAGGTGTGTCTTTGCAGGTCATAGAGGCTCCTCCCTCAACAGCCAATGCAAACTAGGAGCAACGGACTTCTCCCTAAACACAAAAGTGGAAAAAGAAAGAATTCCCCCGCTTGTCGTCATGATCCTCTGAAGGACTGCGCGTGAGTGTGTGTGTGTGTGTGTGTGTGTGTGTGTGTGTGCGTGCTGATGTGTGCCAAACCTCAGAAGTCAGTGCACTGGCCCAGGCTCACGTACGCTGACCGAACGAGTCTCACGCTCCCTTTAAATAATTCATTTTGTTTACATACTTGAAGCAATGCACTTTTTTTTTTTTTATTATTATTTACTGCCCAAATTTGTTGGCGGTCCAATCTTTTACTTTATTTGTTGGAATTTGTTTTACAAAGGAGTTGTTTTGAGGACTGTGGAACAATGTGGAGGTCATGCTTTTTGGGGTGGGTCATTTAGTTTTAGTCTCAAACATTCAGGGAAATCCCTTTTTTCACGCGTTAACTTCTTCGCGGCGTCCTGCGCGTTCGTCGGCTTTCGTTACTGTCGGTGTTTGTCCGGGTTCGTTTGAGGAGAAACGCAGCGGCCCGCTGTCCGTCCCTCATGGATTTCTGAACTTGGTATCAAGGAGGAAAGACTCTGAGCTATTTCTCATTAATGAAAGATGTTTCCAGAAGCTACAGCTGCACAGACCGACGGCCTCCTCAGCCTGCGAGGCGGCGGAGCTGCACGTGCAGACTGACAAATGAATCAAAGGACTTTTGATGATTTTTTTTTTTTTTTGTAAATCAGCGAGAGCACATTTTTTTACGGACATTAAAGGCGCTCTTGTTTCTCAACGTTTTATCTGGAGGGATGAATGCATTCATTCAAGTTCAGTGACTAAACAGCTGTGTTTTTAGATTAGCAATGGAACTATGGTGATTTGTAAAGTATTGCAAAATTGTGCTGTAATCAATTTGTACTGTACAGAGTGGCCTGTAAATGAATGCAGCAACGGAGACATCTTTAAATGTAAGTAAATATGTTAAACGTGCTTAAAACTCTCAGAACCTGTTTTTAGTAATTGCTCTTGAACCTCGGGAGGTAATATCTTTTGTCTTAATTACTACTTCCAGACAAATGATGTGATATTTGTGGATGCCTTTTTACCACCCATATGAATTTAATGTAAAGATTTGATGCCATAAGAAACAAACCTACCAGGTCAATCATATCACCTCTGGTATCCCATCAGAGAATTGCCTCTTTTACTCTCCCACCTCCTGTTTTTACTGATTAAAATGTTTTCTACCGTTTCCATCGTGACTAAAACTTCATCAGTGTCAAGTCAAATTCACTGTGCGATGTGTTTTGTATCACGGCTTCCTGCTGATATCGAATGTACATCCTACAACTGTGAAATAATCAAAGTTTCACTGTAAAAAGGGACGTGCTTTGTGTTCTTTTAAACGAGTTGCAGTATTTTGTTGTTTTGGAGCTGACGGTTGAAGCACACGTGTAGCATTATGAGAAATACATATTTACATTGATGCTTTACATAATGTTATATGACATTAAGATTAAGAGAAAAGTCCCAGTGCTGTAGGTCATAAAAAATCCTTTTGGTATATTACGCTATGGAATATAAAAGAGTGTGTCATTAAATTTGTAAAGTATAACATAAAAAGTTAGAAGTTCCATTCAACTTCAATTGATAAGTCATAGTATAGTATGACACAAATATGTCACAGTTAGCATGACATGATAAATGATAGAATACTGTGGCATAAAATCATCTCGTACGACACTAAAACAGTGTTATAAAAGCTCCATGAAACTGCCATAAAAAGATCACAGTATTTGTATGTCAAGATCTCATGAAATAGTCCTAGTATACTGTCATAAAGAGTCGTAGCATAATCGAACGCGCGCGTCACCAAAAGATGAGGCCTTAAACTCGTTAGGAGGTACTAAAGCTGCTCATTGTTATTCCACCACCTCTTATTTCTCATTAGTGTATAATAAATACTTTAATTCACACAATTCTCATCTTCCCGTCAACTGACGGGTCTCAAACTGTAAATGCAATATCTGACTTAAAAATAGTTTAGCACAATGTCTTGAGCTAAATTGCAGCAGTAGAAAAGCTGCACTTACAACAAAGGAAGCTGCCAGCTTCCTGATACACATCACTTTATATGTGTGCACGATTTGATCAAAGTTTGCATTTATACAAAAGATCTACTCATGTTACTGAACCTTCAACTGTGCCATTTCCAGATTTTTATCAACAAAAGCAACGTTTTCTGATAAACCGGGCGGCACGGTGGTGGTCAGCACTGTCGCCTCACAGCAAGAAGGTCCTGGGTTCGACTCTGCCCAATGGAGTCTGTCTTCTCTCCGGGTTGTCCCGCTTCCTCCCACAGGCCAAAGACATGCTCTGGGGGATCCGGTTGATTGGGGGACTCTAAATGACCCGTAGGTGTGTGAATGGTTGTACGTCTCTGTGTTAGCACTGAGATTGGCCCAGAGTGTACCCCGTCTATCGCCCAAAGTCCACCCCCCCCCCCGTGACCCTGTGTGCAGGATAAGCGATGGATGGTTGGTGGATGGATGGTGTGATTCAATTGAGTTGTATCTGATCATTTTATTTAAAAAAAAAGATGTATTTGTATAGATGCAGACACTTTCAGTTTAAATACAATCTAAAATTAATCTTTTATATATTGAAATTTTTTTTCACAACATGGGCACGGCCTACTTTTAAAACAGTTTGCATTTAGAAACAATCCTATGACCAAGCAACAATTAGCACAGCAACGACCAAAGCATGAAGAGTTTGTATACAAATGCACAAATCACAAACAATAAAATATTTGCAAACTTTAGATCTGCGTCAACTCCTCATAAATAATGTAAATCCAACTAAAGGAGGAGAGCCCAAACAATATTCATTTGTCACATGTTCATCTCCACACTTCATAAATACAAGAAAGACAGTTTGCTGGTTTGTCCGGAGTGTTTTCAGTTTGAGTCGTCGAGGCTGCTGCTCTTCTGTTCTGAGCCACGGTTGCAGAGCCGGACCATGATGCTTTGCAGGCTGGGCTCCACAATACCGAGCAGGGGCCTCAGGGAGGGGTCCCCGTTCCAGCAGGCCTCCATCAGCTGCCAGCATTCCTCATCAAAAGTGGGCAACCGTTCGGGTCTGGCTCCTGGAGACAACATGGACACAAGTGAGCCCACGGACAGAATCCCACAGGATCCCAAAAGCACCAACAGATCCTCAGAGTGAGTGTCTACGCTTTGCATTTACATTCGAGGTTGTGAGTGTAAAACTCCCCACAACCTTACAATGAATGTGCGTTTGAATTCAAAAGATAAAATATTTAAACCTTTCCTCTATTCTTGAACGTTTAAGTGGTCTTAAGGAATACTTCATCCACAAAACAACCTTTTGTTGATCACTTTGTTTGTTTCATTATTTTTTCTACTCGTGGTCCTTAGTCATAGCATGGAGTCATGACTAACACACATAATCAAGTCATTTCCTTGCAGATCTTTGACATCAAAGAATATAAATTAACGCATTAGGAGCAATTAAGTGTCACCGGGAAGCAATTTCCCTTCATGGATCCATATGACACGCTCCCAACAGTGAGTTCACTTCGGTTTGTATAACATCACGTTTGTGCTCTTTGGTTTCTTTGTAAAAAGTCAGTGTGAACACAAACCGGACGAGAACTAAAGAGGTAACAAATATGAATGTCCTTTTCTCAATACCAAACAAAAACTGCAGAAGTGAAAGCTTTAATTACCTTTTTTAACATTATTCCACAGCTGGTCCTTACTGGAGCATTTCTCAAAGGCTTCTGGGAGTTTAACTGAACCAGTGCAGAGGTACCAGAAAAGGATCCCAAAGGCGTAAACATCAACCGAGTTATCATACTTTCCTGTTGAGAGATCACAGGAGAGAACATCTTTAAAATGTTGATAGAAAGCATTCCCGCACAATTAAGTATAACTTCGAATAAAATGTGATGAGAAATTTCTGTTCTGATAACATTGTTTGTAAAAAAAAGTCCCATTAAAAGGGTTCTGCTTGTTCGGACAGTTCTGCCTCCTCTTGTGGCCCTGCTGACAACGGCTGCTGCCATCTTTATTAATAATGATCACATTACTATTACAATCGCCATGAACCAACATCACGACTCTTTGCTTCTTTGCTGTAGTCTTTGTGCTTTCCCTCCCCACAGGTTTCTGTGGTTGGTGGTTATGTCTGATGATGGTTGTTCCTGCAGTGGTCCTTCCGTACACCTGGCTTACTACTCGCGATATTTCAATCAATTCTGTCGCAGCAATTTAACGTATTGTATATGTTTTTTATGTTGTTCATTCTGTACATATGACATCCATTGTAGTCTGTCCATCCTCGGGGGAGGGATCCCTCCTCTGACATTCTCTCTCTCGACGTGAGGGTTTCGGACAGAGGATGCCGCATGTGTAGAGACTGTAAATCCCTCTGAGGCAAATTTGTAATTTGCGATTGTGGGCAAAATAAAATTAATGGAATTAAGATTGAAAATTGAATGATGGACCTCATGACTGCTCGTACTCGTACCTGTAAAGAGCTCTGGAGCCATGTGGATGGGGGTTCCAACGATGCTGCCGGACATCATGGCCTCTGGTTTGCAGAAGCCCAGATCGGTGATCTTTGCACGATTTTGTTTGTCCAGCTGGAAAAGGAATGATGGACAACAGACAGAAAAAGAGAAGGAAGGGCTTGTTAGGTCAGTGTAGAGTGGATCCCTTTGTTGTGGTACATCTGGCACTATCAACCGTTTAAAAGTCACAAATTCAAGGTTTGGTGAACTTCTAGTTGGTCTGAACTTACCAGAACATTCTTTAACTTAATGTCTCTGTGTAAGAGGCCCTGGCCATGCAGGAAGCGGATCCCCTCCACCACATCCAGGGCGATCTGAAGTCTCTCCCTCAGCGATAGACCAGCCTGGTAGTGAGAGATAAACAGTCACAGAACTGGGAGTGGAGACCAAAAAATAACGGATAGAACAATAAGAGGTCTCTTTTTGAACGCTCCACATTGTCAAGTCACCTTTAAGCCTGTGTAGAGATCTCTGTGCAGCCGCTCCATGATGAGCAGCACAGCGATGCTGGAGCCGCCTCCGTAGGTGTGATCGATCACAGAGCCATGCAAGTCCACAAGCCGCTCATGCTTGGGTAGGGACCTGAAGCAACACACATACTACTTCAGTGATATGATCGTAAAATCAATCACTTTTTGTTAAAGTGGCAATCCTTACATTTTCAGTGCTCGTTGATTTCAAAATGGAGTGAAAAGCACATGCAATACTTTCATGAGTGTGTCCCCCATTCATCACTTCTAATAAGGCACAGTGCATTGAGGAGTGTCTTGTTTGTCCACATCAAGACATTTCCCTGCATACCTTAATCAGACATGTTCAACATGCTGACTCGTGCACAAAGCTTCAACAGTCAAAACATTTTCTTTCCCGTATACTGGGTGGAGTTTGGCAGCTATGACAACTGTCATGTTGAATAAAAACACTTCTGCACTTGATGAATGCAGCTGCTCCAGAAACTGCTCACGGCATTCGAAATTCCCCACACTCACCTCAGACAAATCTCCACAGGTCTGGCTTTGAGTGTTTTTAGATCCGGTCTCACTAACTCACCTCGTGTAGTGAAACTCCAGAGCCAGGTCGTTCCAGTGTTTATCATCAGGTGGTACCACAGACTTCAGGGCACATGGGAAGTGTCCCCCCCAACTGTCACACAGGTACACAACTCCGTACTGGCCCCGACCCAACTCTCGGCCGAGCTTCGGCTTGCCTGTCATAAAACAAGGCACCATTTTTTTACACCTCCAAAGCACATTTTTAGTTTAGTTTTAGTTTAATTTATGCAAAAGCGAGGATTTAACAAGGGGACGTTCTTGCAGCGGCAGACCGCATTTCCCTTTTAGTGTGTGAACAACGACATAATTGGAAGCCGACTCACCGTGCAGCAGCACATCCCTGAGGGAGCGGCTCTCCAGAGACAGGCGGGCCAGCCGAGGGGCGTGGTCCTTCCTCACACGCAGCCACAGGTCCTCGGTGCGTTCCAGACGACCCGTGTGCCCTTCTTCCAGCTACAGACACCAACACAGGACAAAGCGTCGCAGGGTTGGACTCAAACATAGCTGTGAATTGACAGTTCGACTTGACAGGCTTTCTTTAGATCTCACACTCGTACTGACTTACTCTCACTAATGACGACTGCCCTCACATTCTCGGGGGCTACGAGCCATTTGCCTTGACCCCTGTGGTTGTGTAGCCATTTGTCAGACTCGTTAATGCAGAGGGCCTGGTCAACAAAGTTACTCCTTGATGGATTTCATGTTTATCTTTAACTTGAGGTTGACAGTAAAGGGTTGAGTTCCCATCATTGGGGTTTACTTTATGCTCAGCTGGAACTTTTAAGGCAACATAAGAATGTACTGTCAAGTATGCTACACCCTTTTTCTAAATAATGAACATCGGAAAAAAAAGATGCTTCTATGGTTTGCTTTTTGTTAAATGATATTTTAAAAGAGAGCAGTGTTTTTTTTTAACACTCACCTCCTAAGACTCACTTTTACCGTTCTTGTATTCATTATTTTTTACCTGGTCTGTATTTTATATTGTCTTTGTGTTAGTTCATCCATGATTTTATTTCATATATATATATATTTATTACACACAATATATTTATTTTTGTTGACTTTGATCTAGCATTTGATTGCCTCTTTCTGTATCATAGATATCCTTCTGTATCTATCTGTACTTGTTTGTGAGGCACTGAGCTGTATAAATAAAGATACTAATGTTTAAGGAGGTGGCCTTGTTTGAAGACTTGAATGCGATGCATCACAATATCATGTCCTACATTTATACGTGTATCTTTTATTGCTATTTATTTAGTGAAGAGTTAGCAAGCATGGAAATGTAGCCAGTGATGTGAACCACACTGTCTGTCATGTGATAATCATCATCACAGCAATTTCCCTAAAACTGATTCGTCAGGGGCTTAAAAGGACAAAGACGGATCAATTTGCACACTGGGGCCTAAAAGACGAAGCAATTCAAGTGAAGAGGAATATAATTCTGTCTTTATCCTACGGAAGAGCCTGTTGTTCGGACATGCAATCAGAGCGGGACACGTTCAGAGCCTCTATAGTGGAGACAGCTGCCAGGCGCTGCGGTCAGAAGGTCATCAGTGCCGTCAACTTAGCGACACACCGGGTGAAGAAGGTCATCAGACTAAAGATGGACGCCTGGGTTTTGAGGACTTTGGGGAGTCTACGTAGGAGGACTTTTGTTGGACGCGAGTACGGTCTACACCCGTTTTGTGGCCTTGGTGGGAGCGGGGGAGGGGTCCTATGGGTACAAGGTCGTTGTCCAAAACGATGTTACTCAGCCGGAACGTGATAAATGTTGGTGACTGAGGGTGAAAAGGGACATGAGATGGACGGGTGGGACGGAGTCAGCAGTGATGAAGGTGTTTTACTAGATCACCGAAGAGAGATTCTGACTTATCATCCACCAGAGGTTTGATGGTACTGAATATTACTTTTAGATGGAAATATCAAACTGCTTGGGACTTCAATTGTATGCTAAGTGAAAGTTACTGTTTGTTCTTAGTTACATATTCAAGAAGAAAGTAATAAGGCAACAAAGGCGAAGGCGAGAAAGAGAAAGTTCACCTGGCGCAGAGATGCTGCGAAGGCCTCGTGGGAGCTGTTCAGGCGGGTTCTGAACTGGGAGCAAATGCTTCTGGCCAGTTTGGCAGCGCTGAGACTTTCTATGGCGTCCTGGGCCACTTTCCGCTTCCACTCTGGAGAGACGGCAGGAGGGTTCACAAACGTTATCCTGTGGATTATCTAGGAACAAGACACGGAGCATGAACACCTTTTCAGAAGTGACAACCTTACGGTTTCAAACACTTGTTGCTGAATTTCTTTGACACTGACCTGTTTGATTTGTTCCCAGAAGAGTCTTGAGACAGAGGATCCCGAATGAAATGTGACCTCCACGTGATAGGCAGCATTTAATAACTGTGGCAGATAAGAAGAGGGAGTAAATATGCAGAAAATTCACTTCCTATGACATCAGAATGTCATATGTTGGTCTAAAGGTTTGTGGCACTGAAGGCAGGCACAGTTGACAATGGCAAAACCACTTTTTTTATTATTGTTACTGCTGATAGATGTGTGATCCCATGAGGAACTCTTGTTTGGCTTCATAAAACAGTTTTATAAACTTCTTAAGAAAAAATACATTTTAATATCATTATTAGTAGTATTTGTAGTCTAAAAGCCTGTAAGAGGTTAGTTCATACAGCCCACCTGTTTGAGGTGATTGGAAGTGATGTTGTGGACAGAAGAATCCATGTGTGATTTCTCCAGGCTGTTGAGACATCGCTCCAGAGTTCCTACGAAGCTCTCCCTTAGATAGTCCACAGAGCTGATCAGTTTATTTGCCACGGCCTGATTCAAACGAACCACGATCAGCTCCTGGATCTGGTGGATGCAAGATTTGATCTCCTTCGACGTTACAGGATCTCCATTAGTTGTTACAATGATGTCTGCAGAAGAAAATTGTTTGTCAAGTTATGAGTCATGAGTGGGTTCTGAGTTACCAACAGCAGAGATTTCCTGATTGAATGAATGCGACGTTAGTATGAGACAGTCTAGATGTCTAAGATGCAGACTCCAGTGTCTCTGGCTACACACTGGCATTAGAAAATCATTTTAAAAATAGCTATTCAATTAGTGTAACTTCGTAAACTGAACACCCGCATACTTCAGGGCTGTATGCTAAAGTTACACACTGAAAAAGTTATTGTGTTTTGTTTGGTTTCAGACTCAAAGTGCGGCTCAAACTTGCAATATTTCCACACCATGTGAAGGTTGGTGGATTTACAAAGGCCAATAAAAGTTATAGTTTGGAGCAGTGAAAAAGTAGTGGGAGCGGCAAGTGGAGTAAAAATGCCGCTAGCTCAGCTACGTCTCTGCAGGTCTGAAGCCTTTGCCTTGAGTAACGAAACTGGTTGCAGATGGAAAACCACTGGCCAGTTCGGACAAGTAAGTTGTCTATTTTATCTCCCTTGGACGCACGTTGGCATAATCCCAAATGTAAGAAAGAATCGATCAAATAAAACCAACGGGTACCACGAGTCAGCCATCTTTTCTAAAATAGAAAAAGAATAAAGAGGGAATCTTTTCTTATTAAGTTGAAGATAGCGATCTTAAGATAACCGGTAATCCGATGAGAACCGGCAGAATGAAGATTAAAAAACACATTTCACGTACATAACGTTATGATTTAGTTCAACTCACGATGTTTAAAAAATAAGATAATTGAATAAATTATATTCAATTCAAGACCTTTTGGAAAATGAATAGAATTTAAACTAGACTTATCTGTAAAGAGTAAATTATTTTTTTTCATTGTAAATCAGTCACAAATTACACTATGGCAATAAGGACGATGGCCGTTTCATAACGAACATAACTAAGTAGTTTCTATTTACTAAAAGCATGCGTTTAATAAATAGCAATAAATACAGTGCAGTACAGACAGTGCAGAGAAATGTATAAATATTTTTTGCTGACTGGTAAAAACTATGATAAACGTACTGCTGATGATGTCAAAACATTAAATTCACAAGCTTGTGCATAAATTAGTAATGCACTAGTATGTATGACATCAAAAAGGAGAAAATGTATTCAAAAGTACCAACAAGAAAAGCCTTATTGGGGAACAATCCAAAATAATAATATACTTATACTGATTTGCATACAGTAAAACATTCATTTCACTACTTGTAGTTTTTGTAGTATTTAATAGGGATATAACCATTATTTTTAAATTATTTTATTAAATGTATGAGCGAACATATTCCTCTTTTATACACCATCTTATGAATGGTAATTCCTAGTGCGTTAAACCGCACTAGGAATTACCTAGGAAAACTAGGAAAACACAATGTTGGGGTTTTCCTCCTTTTGGGGAGTTTACTCACTAACCTGTAAACTCCAGGTTGGCAGCATCCTCCAGCAGCTGCTCCTTCATGCTGCCGAGCGTCTCCACAATCATCTCCTTCATCTCCTCCTGTTTACGGTTAGCGATGGCCATCAGGGAGGTGAAGAGTTCACCCTCCTTCTCACGGGTGTACTCCAGCCGCCGGGGCGTTATCTGTAGGTCCCTCTGCATGTCAAAGGCCTGCAGGGAAAAATAAATAAATAATCCAATGAGAAGTTTTCATGGACAGAACAGGTCAAAGTTGTGAGATCAAAAGGAGGCATCATCCGTCATATCAGAGTATTGAGCAGTAGAACAATCACAGACATACAGATTAAAAGTCCTTCATTCTCTGACCTGGTTGATGAAAATATCTAGACAGCGACAATGAACCCCGTTAAGCAGGTTCGCCGCCTCCACCTGCTGGTTTTGAAGCACTTGGCGAGTAAAAGGTACCAGCAACCGATGCAGCCTTTCAAAAGCCTCCACCAGCAGGCTAAGGGGTTTGGCACCCGGGGCGGACGTCTGGGTAGGTGCGCCACAGGAGCAGTTTCCTACGGGGTTACTAAGGAAGCCGAGGGAGAGCAGCTGCTTGAAGAGGGCGCTCTTCTCCCTGTCCCGCTCCTTCTCCCTCTCGCCACGTCGGCCGGGTTCCGGGGAGGCCGCTGGCATCGGGTCAGGAATACGAATGAAACAGATGGGAAAGGAGAGCATCTCTTTGACCTTCCTGAGCTCTGCCACGTGGTCTGTGCCGAGTGTGTCCTGGTTGATGGCATAGAGTAGGATGGGGATGACAGTGCGGGTGCAGTCGGCCAGGGCCTCTTCTATGGGCTGGACACTTTGGCAAGGCACCACCATAACCTTTGCTTCCTGAAGAAGAAAAAGACACAAATATGTTTATTTCATTTTGAGCTAACTGATTTAAATATTGTCAATATTTAGCAAATGTGGTTCTGTAAGAGGAGCCAGTTCAACGGAATTTGAAAGGAGCATACTTTCAGTCTGGTCATTTGAACACAACGAAGATGAAACTGCAAGATTTACCACACAGCCAAAAATAGAAAGCAATGCATAAAATGGATTATTAATGATTATTATTATTAATTAATCCACAGCTAATTAAGAACCAACTCTGCGGTTTCCCTCTATAAAAGTCTTATGGGGTCTTGTCACAAGACACAACTTTACTGTTTTGCTGCTCACATAGTGGTGCATTTAGCAGTTAATGTGTCGAATATTTTCCTCGAAAGTTGTGGTGTGGACCAAAAACAGAACTACATAGAGTGAATACAGGGCTTGTATTCACCAGCGGGGGAAACTATAGCCTCGGTACACAACAATTCTTGTTAGTAGATGTTTAAGCAGCCTCACCCGCATACATCACATGCACCTTCTATTTCTGAACTCGGAAAGGCACATCAATATTTGTGGTGGTGCCTGGGAAGGTCTGAGACCGGGCAGGAAAATGTCACAACGATAGGTTTTCTTAACCCTTGATGAATAACGACTTTTATAAAAAAATAAATTAAAAAAAAACAGTCTCGGAGAGGGATCGAGGGGGAGACCATGGCAAGGGAGGCGGTGGGGGGAGAGAAGCAAAAAAAGGACCAACAGCTACACAAAGGAGACAGTCAGCCCCGTCTCCAAGACACAAGAGCACAGCCCATCTGAGCAGCCTCCGTAGAACAAAGATAGCCTTCAAACATTTCTTCACAACTAAATCAAAATCCACACGATTTATTAACTGACTTATTGCGTTCCGTTTTTAAACAAGAATTGTCTGTTGGCTATTTTAAAGTCACCGTCATTTTTCTTGTTCTAACGAGGGTCAGTAGCAAGTTAGCATTAGTGCATAGAGACGGTTCAACGAAGCCACACAGCCGAGCCAGACGGCCATGTCGGCGCTTTCTTCCATTCAGGAATTTGAAGGGTGACTGCTAATGTAACGGGCCTTTGTTAACACCAGACTTGCTTATGTGCATTTGTGGAGCAATAAACATAACCGAATACGTACCACAGTCCCTTTCTGAACGTGGCGGTAAAATTGAACCCTTTTTGTCCTCTGCGTGTTTACGGTAAGGTGGGAAGCGTGGGTTAACTCAGGGATGAAGGGAAGGATAATTAGCTAGTTGGCCACTAAAGCAGGTCGCTGTGATTATGGCTGGAGTGTGTGAAACGCTCAGTGAGACGAGAGATTCTGCGCCTTTGTTTGCTCCAACTTTAACCTCTTATTCATTGCTATGGCACACTGCTTTAGTTTGTGACATATGACATGTTGTATTATATTTAGTTGTAGATTATTTAATTTCATATGAGCATCGAAATACATCACAACGGTTCTTTCGTTCCCATAAATGTGATAATGTTGGTATTATCAATATGAACAATAATGTCTCTGACATCCTCGAGGTGTGACCCCCCCCCCCTTGACCCAAATCAAGGACTGCAGGTCCCACGCCTCTCAGTCACATGCGAAAATGAACAACGGTGTGAAATGATTGGCTTTGCTTCCAGCACTAACATTTTCCTTGCGGGCGTTCATTCTATTATGCTTTTCTGTTTTACAGATAAGACCGAAGGATCTAGATGCAGAAGTGCAAGACGTTTCTAAAGAACTAAACTAAACCTTATCAACGTAGTATCTGTTGATCGCAGACAGATAATCGCAAACAGATAATGCAGCGAGTGCTGCAAAGTCCACAACAATGTTTTCTTTTAACCAGTGTTTAAATATTCCGTTTTTTATTCACTTTTCTCAGGAATAACGGTGGGAAACTAAATAAAAGCTATTTCCAATTAGCCCAGCTGACGACAAAAAAAATGTATTTGTTTTATTGATATCAAAAAACAGGTCACGACGTGAACAACCAGTGTCCCACAATTCAGGCATAACCATGGTAACTTCATCACATCGAAGGGTTTGGTATTTTTTTAACATGACCTAGTCATGTGAAACGCACCAGACCCGTGGCATTACGTAAGGGGGCTGGGCGGTGGGCCGCCCCGAGGGCGAGCAAAGCCTCGCTTCTGAGCCTCGGTCTAAAGGATTAGACACTAATTTCCACGTGTCACACATAATAAGGAATGACTACAATCCTTACACCATGCTAGATCAATTCACTCCCACAAGATGTTGGGATTTTCCGGTTATACTGGCCGAATACCAGCATGACTGCTGCACTGTGTCTGACCAGTTTTCCTGTAACCACAGTAACCTGTGGATATGTATTTATTCCCCAAACAGGAGAATTGTGCCCGGAAAGAAAGGTATTTCTGAAAAGAGGCACAAATCAGGTAAAGTAAAAGACTGAACAACACAGGAAATAATCAGCTCTCCTAACTAATCTGTTTGTGAGCTTTACCATGTGTGAATACAAAGGAGAGTTCAAGGCCAAATCCAGCTTTTCTTTTGTTTAGAGCTACAGAAAGAAGTACAACCAACCCCCCAAAAATTACCCTTAAAGGTTAAGGGATGGGCCATATGTTTTGAAATCAATTTTTTCATGTTGTCAGGAACAATAAAACACAATATGATCAGAGAAATCTGAATATTATATAAAACTAGCAGTAATTTAAAACTCATAAACTGTACCAAAACCTTGTTTTAAAAAGCGCTATAATAAAAACATCGATAATATACATTTTCTAATTGATAAAGACACACCTCTTCAGACTCTACCTTGACTAAAAAAATCGTAGCACTTAAATTGTACTTATAATGGCTCTTATCTATAGCAAGTTTAAGATCGGCTAATTTGATGAAATTGCTGTTTCTTGTTCTTTTGTGTCTGTATTCTTATAGTTGAAATGCACTTATTGTAAGTCGCTTTGAATAAAAGCGTCTTGAGCCGAGATTCTCCTACTCCTCCTTAATAAAGCTCATTTCCCTGCAGATATATCCTCTCTACTGGCCTTAGGAAGGATGTGTACGCATATCCAAAAGACCTCACTTCACAATTTGATACCACGGTTGTTGTGTATCCCATAATAGACAAAGTAGTAATGTGCCAACATTTGTTGTCATCAACTTTTTGTTTCCCATCTTCAGTTCTGGTTAAATCTTTCCCAGAGGGCTTAACGGAGCTTCCAGCCACGAAACAACACATTTCTCAAACAAAAACACCATCGTTTCCCCGCTTCTCTCGTCCCCGTTGCCGAGTCTTACTGTAAATGTCTCCAAACCGAAGTGTAAAAGTTAATGACGAGCGGTACAAGAAACGACTGTTGTCCAAACATTTTGTATCAGTATATACATGAAAGTATGAAAGTAGATCCAAAATGTCCCCCACAGAGTGTGCCGCCTGTGGTTAAAGGCCTACCTGTAGCAGCGGGTGATGTAGGGTGATCTCCAGCTCTGCCAGCCTGTGTGCCGGGTCCTCGCACTCCTCATGGATCTCCAGGTCTTCCCGGGGCACCGTGTCCCAGCGACCACAGTTGGCCGCCAGCTGGTGCACCAGCTCATACTGGCCCGGCAGCGCCAGGCTGAGCCGTGTCTGTCTCCCATGGGTGAAACACAGCTTCCGCCTCTTGCAGACACTACCCTGGACTCCTTTGCAGGCCTCTCCGGCCTCTAGGCACAGTGGCAGCAACCTCTCCCCCAAAAGGCAGTTAAGCAGCTGGTAGCGGGCGGCGCAGTCCTGGCCCAGTACCAGGATGCACGGGGCAGCACCCACTGTGTTACGCAGAAACTCTTCCTCGTGGCCGGGGAAAGAGATGCAGCTGAGCTGGCCTAAAGGGAACCGACAGAACACAAGGAGGTGTATGTTTTTGGGAAGTAGAGCTTTTTAGGAACCCGTTATGTGGAGTTCATGAGTCGGGTATTTTAAGACACACTAGCAGTTGCATGATCTATATTTCCATAATATTCAGAAGCTACATGTTCAATACAATAGATAGTACACATTTGATACTGGGATATCATTCCTCTGGCTGTTTTTCCCAATCCAGCACTGAGATGTAAGAACTAATCAGATAGGCCTAATCCTCACTGATGTTGAGTCAGTCTAAAACAGTTATACAACAAAGAGAGAAGAGAGTGGCATTTTACGTTCATGTTCCTATTAGTATTTACCCCTTGACCTAACGTGACGCATTAAAGCCTTTTGTCCCGGACAGACCGGTGCTGAGGGGCTGAGCATTTGACCGCATGACCTCTGCACAGTGGATAGACTAAACAGGCAGTCAATGCACAACCTGGAACAAAAGATTAGATCAAGCTCTATTGAATGATCTCTCTGCATCATGTAATAAACATTAGCAAGTTGAATCTGAAATAGCCAGCGAAAGCATAGTTTCAGTTTTAACATGGAGAATTTTTACCATGAGCACAGAAAACTCGAGCGGATATCACGCATTGCATTTCATATCATCACTCCTGTGCAGCTCAACAGTTGTCATGCGATGGTATATGGATCGATCAAGGGGTGGTTGTGATCCAATATCAAAAGGTGGGTGGGGTGTGATCAACTTAAAGTTAGAAGAGGTTTTGAAACAGATCTTACCGGTCACTAAAGCACTCACCAAAAGCCACAATCCATGTTAAAGATATTACAGAATGTGTGTCTTTCAGCCAGCTACAGACTGTAGAAATCTCAGCATATTTGGTGCACTTAGTCCACTCATGCTTTTCAGAAGGGGGCTTAATCCCTTTACCCCCCCCCCCAATCCCTAAAGGATGCTTTGTTTTGAGTTTATTAGTTGGCGGGGCAGAACAAGTCACGGCTTTCTTTGACCCAGATGTAAAACGGGATGCGTTTCAAACCCACCTGCCTCAAAAGAAGCTGAATCCGAGCTCATCGTTGACGCACAAGCATTGCTGTAGTTTTGCCTAATTTCCCGGAAGAACGCGTTGGTCTCCTTCAGGTTCTTCTTCAGCTGCACGGTGTGCTTGTTGTAGCTGTTGAACGTCCTCGTCAGTTCCCGAGCTAAAGGTGTAGTTTTCTGCTGCTGTACGTTTCCCTCCATGGTGGGTCCCCGGGGCCGCGGGGCCGCGGCCTCCTTCCGCTCGGTGGTTTGCGGGGTTCAGCAGGTGCTTCACACCCAAAGTGAGAGTCTTATTCCAGCCGCTCTGCTGGGAGTGAGTCCTGTTTCACACCTATTTGCTTTTCTTTCTCCCCCCCTTGCGTACTAGTTAGTAGCAGACTAGAACTTTGATCACTCATCTGCTGTTAAATACGGTCCGTTTTAAGAGGCACATTGTTGTTTGTGGTTTGTGGCAGTGCGGTTTTTTTTTTTAACGGATTCCAACGGTTCGAGAACAAAAGCTTCCGCTACGCCGGCATATTTATTTGTTAAAACGCACCGTCTCGCAGACTGTCAACAACACTGTCAACAACAAAAAAAAGAAGGGAAAACACCACAACGACGTGGTTTTTAGTGCTAAATAACGTGCGTGTTCTGCGAGCTAACGTTAGCTGTGGTGCAGATACCGTTAGCGCTGCTAGCCGGAGGGCATCTCCGGTCCGTCCCCGCGTCGCCCGGGCACAACGGCCATAGCAGTTAGCTCCGCGTAGCTCCGGGTAACCGCTGCACCGCCATCCGGCCCCGGGTTAGAGGTGTGGGGCCTCGGACAGTTGCCACCGAGCGGCAACCCGAGCGCTTGGTTTTTTTTTTTCCTCGGTCAAGCTCCGCAGGGAAAAGGGCTCTTCCTAAACAGACTCGGGCCCGCAGAAGTCATCAGCGGACATCTTCCAGCCTGGAGAGCGAAGGGGCGTCACAACGATACCAACTTTTTTTTTTTTAACTGTAATTTTTATTCTTCTTTGGTGATGATGAGGAGCGTCAGTGGTGGGGGAGAGCGGGGCGGGGGGGCGAGGTGTGTCCGGGTCCGGGCCAACTCGCAGAGCTGAGACCGAGCAATCAAATCACTGCAAAACAGAAAGTCGACACAACTGAAGTTTAGGGAAAGGAAAGGCGGGGTTCGGGGGGGCGCAAGGCAGTCTGGGAAATGAAGGAATGGTGGCGGCTGATCATCGAGGTCGAAATGACCAGTGAGTGTATCGATGGATAGTTCACGTGTTTCTGTAAGTGTAATTGCACGGTGTCCCCTTGTCTAAAGAAAGTAAACTGGAGTCAATTTGGAAATTCCTAATCCCAAATCGGATTAGGAGTCGATGTGAGATTGAAAAAAATAGTACTAATTGTGCAGTCAACATTATGAGATATGTAACATGTATGCTACGGTATTGGTGATATTAGTGTACATTGAAATCATAACATAAATACATTTGGACCCAAAAGGTTTGAGAGCCCCTGCACCCTCATACAAATGTCTGTCCCTCTTTGTGTTATATTAATAACACACAGCTGCACATAAATCGACCTACTGAATGAACAAATAAACTACTCAATTGCAAATATTGTCGAGACCTTTGAGGTGTGAAAGACGACAACCACTGTGAAGCATAAAACACGACTAAAGTGCCCCCTCTACTGGCGGTGGTACTTCATTACATAATCAACAGCTTAAAGTTTTGGTTCAATAGTCTAATATTCCTTTTTTTCTTCCAAGCCGAGGTGGTATTCCTTACTAAACACTATGTCAAAATGAAGTGTGAATTTAATTTCAGCAGCAAATTGGACCTAAGTATTACTTCTGCCCATCCTGCTTTAAACGATGAACACTCACCTGAGTCTGAACTAATATTACAGTCTACATGAGAAATTAACCGCTGGATTTGCTAGAGAACGCTCACTAGTATGACGTTTAAAAAGGGCACTTTGGATGTTTTAGGATTTCTATCAGGCCACAACTAGTTTGTCGACTGTGTGCTGATCTCTGGCGGCCTACATCTGTAATGACACTAATAATCCAACCTCTAACTGTTTTTTTTAAATGTATTTTTCTCAGCTCATTAGAATGCTTATTTAGGTCAAACTGGACTTGAACACCAGAACACATATTCTAGCTTCATGAAGTCAGCTAGGATTTGAAATGCATCTTCTCTGCAACCAATAGGCAATAAAATAATTCAAGCATTTTATTTTTACAGACGACAAACATATGCATAATGCTCCATTTTCTAACAGGGAGTTGGTCCTCTTTGTAAACTAAATTACAATTATATGATAGTTATACAATTTTAAGTGTTTTATATGATAACACCAATGACCCCAACTATAACTGTCTTATTCTTGTCGCTCTTAATCAGGTTGATATTCTGTATATTAGGTTAGAAGTGGAAGTGAAAGGCATAACACACGACTAATGTGCCACCTCATTAATCAGGATTTTCAACAAGTAGATAACATGAAAACTGTCACAATAATTCAATAATGTGTGTTAAATATTAAGTTATCCGTAAATACATTCACAGTGACATAAAATTAACAACTTTACACCATTGATATCAGCAGTATATATATATATATATATATATATATATATATATATACATAAAGCCATGGGTTAAAAATGTCAGTCGCTTTGGATAAAAGCGTCAGCTAAATGACCTGTAATGTAATGTAATATATGTGTTTAGCATTCTGTTTATTTGGTGGAATATTATTTTACTTAGCCAAGTAAAAGTAGCAATACGTGTGATAAGTAAAGGTCCTGCATTAAAAATTTCTCTGAAGTAGAAGTACACAAGCTGAGCATGCAAAACCTGTCAACAAGTTATTGTGTAATCAGCATACTGCTGGAGAAGTAGGTCAGGGTGGAGTACATTTTACTATTTTATACATATACTTTTAGGTAGTTTAATTTTTGTTTTCATTAATTTAATATTTATTTATTTGTTTCTTTTAAATCTAGTGCATCATTTGTTGCGTTTTGTATGTAAAATTAACCTGTAAAATTACTGCTGCCTAAATAGTTTAAAATAGTATTTCCCTCTGAATTGTCAAGGGAGTACAACTTCAAATGGATTTACTCAAGAAAAGTCCTCTAATCTTTAAATAAAGCATGTTAGAGTGCTCTACTAAATTACAGTCCACACAAGGATTCTTTATTTAAGGCTGTTTATAAAACACACTCGCCTCACGCTTCATTTTGTGGTGCGCTTGTTATGAATGTCCATACACGCCGATTGTAACAAGGAAAACAAAAATAGAAGTCGAGATCCTGCATTGTGTGTTATGAATTGGATTACAAACTACTCAATAACGCTAGCATTTCATTACAACTACGAGTCTATTTTGATCAAAATCAATAATGCAATTATATGGTGTAGTTTGCTACTGCGAGTATTACTGTTAATAAAACACCACTTTGAAGCACCACTGCACTACAAATCGGATTATACTTGGAGGCTAGAACACATGCCAATGCAACAAAAAAAACATAAAAAATAACGTTAACAATTTTACAAATTTACCAAAATTTCTCTTGGCGCCTCCTAGTGCCGTCTGCTGTCTCAAATCAAGCGCTCCTCACTTGTACCTGAACCGCCCCTCAACTATTAGACGTGTCCGGCCGCTGGCTGAGCTCGAGCGCCGCTCGTTTCGTAGCACGCTGTGTACCTGCTTGCTAGAAGGTCTCAGCGCTGCCCAGGAGTGAAGACCGAGCGTAACATTTAGTTATAGTAATCCGCTGCAACGCCGGAGATGTTCACTCTTTAATCCAAATGGTACCCGATCGCCTTTGGGAGCAACTTCCCTCCAAACGGCGACAGAGCTCACGCGCGGAGGAATAAACTTGCGTGGAAAAAAAATACGGCAGAAAAAAAAGCGAAGAGAACAAGACAACGACGTTGCGTCGCGATGGAGATCTTAACCGATCGCCCCGCTGGTAAAGCTGCGTGCCAGGTGACGGTGAGGAGACAAGCCGTGAAGAGACACCACCACAAACACAACCTGAAGCACAGGTACGAGTTCATGGAGACCCTCGGCAAAGGAACCTACGGCAAGGTGAAGAAGGCCGAGGAGAGATCGGGCCGACTGGTGAGCACCGATGTGATCGATCTATTATCTATTGGCTTTGTTATCCGACCCGCCACCTGTTGGTTAGCGATAGAGAGCTATTTTTACTCCGCACGCAGGTAGGAGTCTGGACTGGCCTCACGTTTGTCCCCGCAGAGGAGCACTACTGAATCATTAGGTACTACAAATAGGTCGTGTTAGTTTACACACCAGAATACGTGAGACATCATTGGTTTCTCGGTGTCTCCGAAACGTTGCGTCCAGTCTGCATTTTGTAAAAATAAAAATAAAAAACTAGTGAGTTTTGTGAATTGCAACACCTGTATAGTGATTTAATCGTTTTATTCTCAGCTCCTGGTTCACATCGTGAGCTATTTGGGGTTTGAAAAATAAATAGTCCTCTGTGTAAACACCTTCTGTGTCTGTGGAAAACCATATTTATTGAATTTCTCCATTACGGGACAAATAAATGAATATCTTATATCATCAAGTAATTAATTTTTAGTATATTAGACTAACGTTAGAAGTCCATACTTATGGGAGACCATCCTGCAAAGACTGAAGCCAAAATTGATTTCCTGCAACTCCGTAAACAAGATGTTTCACCTCCTAAGTGCTTAGAAGGAAGTAAGCAGAAGTCTTCCTTTGAAAGCTCTCGGTGACTTTATCCCAGCAGGAAATTTAAAAGGAAAATGAGGTAACTTTCGTTCTTTGGTGGCGAGAGAAAGGGGAAAGCACCACTCTCCTTTAAGGTGGACTCTGGTTCCCTGAGGCCAAGCGGGAGATACTTAAACTAAACAGGCCGGACAGAGAGAACCCGTTTTAAAGGAGCACATTTTGCGATCAAATGGCACTCTTTATTTGAAAGGTATAACCGCAGCCTGTACGATGGCCATAACGTTGAATCAACAACTTTCTGAAGCCGGTTTAACAGAAACGAAACACTATAACCTCCCTGAAGGTTAACGGCAGGGCTCTTGCATTAAGCTGCATTCAGTTAGCCATGATTTACCTACTAAATTGGCAATTTAGTGTATGTTTGATTCAATATGACAAACTTTGTTTCTGTTAGATCTTTTGTTTGTTTTCTTCAATAAAGTAATTTACCCAACATCAAGAAACATGGCAAATGCCTAAAAGAAAAGGAACCCCGGAGTGGATGACAGCAGAAATAGTGACTCATCATAAACACAGATACTTGGCTTGGAAGTTAAGTCCCTATTGTCACTGCCTTTGGCTCAGCGGTGAAGTCACGTTTATCGGAAATGCTCTTTGAGTATTATGAGTGAAAGCGCATGGAGGTCACAGAAGTTATTCAGGAATTCCCCTTCTGTACCTGCAGCAAACGGGGACTGAAACAGGTTCAGCCTTGTTGTGTGTACACACACACACACACTCCTCTGATCCGACCCGCTGCTGCTACACTTTTTTAGGATACGAGTTGGTGTCTAGTCATCGGGCCTCAAACCCATGTTGAAATGTCAAAATTCTGATTAGTCCATATATATATATATATATATATATATATATATATAATGTTTTGAATTCAATTTGAGCTCAAACAGCAGTTTGCATACAATGGAAACCAGAAAAACATTTAAAACGCTTTGTTTTTATCTACGACTTGTTAGTATTGACAACAGTAGACAAAGATATGTCATTTGACACGGCCACAAAGGACGGCTTAATCTCGCGTGCGTTGTGCAGCTGTTCCCATTATCTAAATTTACAAGTTAGGTTCCATAACCAACACACACGATCAACTTTACTGCCAGTTTTGCCAGTTCAATGTACATTGTGTTCCTCTTCAATCTGTCAAGTCACATTTCAGACAATTCCAAATGACCTTTGTTAGCTTTTTAAATCCAAAAGGGTCACATCTGGGTCACATGACCTGAGGTAAGCTTTGCCAAAGTAACACCGGAAAGCAGAACTCTGTGTCAAATACCAAGTGTTCCTCCCCCGTGCCAGTTGCGTGGAACAAACTGAGTAAAAAGGCCGGACACACACGGACAGATAACCGCACAGGGGTGTGAACTCATCGTGAGTGTGAGTTCAGCCCGTCTGACAGATATGCAAACAAACGCAGGAAGCCACAGTTCCCGGAATCAGGAAAAAGGGGGTCTGCGTGGTTTGAATACAGTGCTGCTGACCTGCAGGAGCACGGCGGCCAGACAGTGACTCACGGCTGGAGAGCGTTGCGTGCTGAAACTGATGTGACAGCTCGCCGCTTTACTCAACCCCCGCCCCCCCACCTCACCCCTGTGTCTGTGGCCTCGAGGGTGAGGGAGGAGAGGAAACAAGGGCGTCCCACCACCTAGTGCCTCATGACACCCGTCAACTAGGGGTGAACGGATGACGCACTCGGTGCACAGAGGAATCTCGAGCATCTGAGCTTCCAATAGGCAAACAGAGTATAAAGACGTGTCCAGAGTGTGAGTGTGTGTGTGTGTGTGTGTGTGTGTGTGTGTGTGTGTGTGTGTGTGATGGGGCCCCAACAGAGGCTGGGTGTACATTTCCTTACAACACAAGTCTCACTGACGTACGGGCAGACAATAGATTTTTCTTCTGGAGACAATAGACAAATGACACTGTCCCCATCACCAGAGGACGAGCCTCAGAGTGAAGGAAACGTCTCATCAACGTTTTGTTGTTCTTCTTTGTGCTTTCGGTTCTGCTAAAGAAATATTATAGTATAACTATTTACAGACTTGGCTGCTGACCATCTGTATTATTTTCTTTTTCACTAAAGTGAGATTATGTCACTCTAGAAACGGTAATCAACACATAACAACACGTAAGTGGAAAACCAATACAGCTGTGGTCATTCCATCACACGCGGTGGTTTCACTGGTGCAGCCTCACTTTGGTTTTGTCATACCACAGTTGAATGGGGGCTAATGTTGGCAAACTGGAAAATAGATTTCACTCTGTAACTAACATTACCGACTCGGTTCACTGACTCCTAAAGACTCATCTCAACTTGTTCTCCTGTGTTTAAATATTTACCCGTTTTGCAGCAATTGTCACTTGTGCCAATTACAACTGTTCATTAAGACTTTTTCTTTTAAGTAACTTATTTGACTCCTCAAACAGAGGTAAAGATGTGTTGTTTCATTGATGGTTCTCTGGAAGCAATCTCGCTTTTCTAGAAATGGGGCAAAGTATAATTCCCTTCGTCTCAGTCGAATTTTCTCTTGTCTTTTTTTTTTTAGGTTGCCATAAAGTCTATCCGAAAGGAGAAGATAAAGGATGAGCAAGATCTGGTTCATATTCGCAGAGAAATTGAAATCATGTCCTCGCTCTGCCATCCTCACATCACCACCATATATGAAGGTACAGTATTCAACATGTTTTTGGAGTTTAGTTTTAATGTTTTTTGCCTTTTTTTCAAAACCGACTTCATCTCCGACATGTGAAGTGAAACGTGATACCTGGAACGGAGACAACTCTCAATCGGTCTCTGTTTTTGGAGATTCAGAGTTCGGTCACGCAAGTCTTTTGTGCTGAAGAAAGACGTCATGTTACATAAGCGGCAAAGCCCGACCGTTCCCCGAAAGCGCTGCAGGAAAATGTGCAGGGCCTTGTGTCTCGCAGTGTCCCTCACGCCTGATGAGATGGTCATCGTTCAGTGTTTGTCCACCTCAGTGCGTGCTTGCAATACGGCCATCAAGGGGCCCCGTGTGTCCTAATCTTTAATCAGCTTTCTATGCAGGCACGTCATTAAAACATCTGACGTGTGTGTTGGCACTGTAGTGAGTAATGAATGTAGTTTATTTCCATTTGGGTGACGAGTTGATTAATGAACCTTTAAAAAAAAAAAAAAAAAATCTCATGTTGGTTTTGTTTTTTTGTAGTATTTGAGAACAAGGACAAAATTGTGATCGTGATGGAGTACGCCAGCCGAGGGGACCTGTACGACTACGTCTGTGACAAGCGGAACATCTCTGAACGCGAGGCCAGGCACTTCTTCAGACAAATCGTGTCCGCTGTGCACTACTGCCATCAGGTAACGCAGTCTTTGTCTACAGCCGCCGCCTTCACCCGGGACATTTGTTGTCTTACTCGTTGCTAGATAGATAGATAGATAGATAGATAGATTGATACTTTATTGATCCCTCAAGAGGGAAATTTTGGTATCACAGCAGCATGTACAGGGAAGAAAATAGAATAAAAAGATACACATTATATACAATATAATAAGAGAAATATTAAATTATTAAATTAAATTAAATCAACTGAAACAAAAGAATAACCTTCCAAAAGAGACAATAATAATCATTTGTAAAAGGAGAAGAGGAAGAGGAAAGAGCAGCAACATAACAGCAGTACAGGGTTATTATTGTCATTGATTAGCCACTATGGTGGCGTATATATCTCAGCCGTCTTCACACATGGCTGCTACGTCGGGGCTGATGACGCAGACCTCCACTCAGACCGGCTGCTCTGCCCGCTGTTGCTGGGTTTTTGTTTTTTCCCTCTTAGTGCACTGGCACCCACAAAGTTACATAATGGGCATTATTCCCTGTGTGCTGATCTGTGAGGGAGGCTGTGAGAACCATGCAGAGGGAAATGAGCAGTCGGACTGCAGAGTGCTCGCGTCGGGGCTAAAGGCCAGCCGTCCCAACCAACGCGCACTGTTAATGAGACACACACGCACACACACAGTTGTTGCTCTGTAATCACAAACATTTACAGCACACTTTTAGTGTTGCTGTACTGTATTAACAGAGCGAGTAGTTCACCATCTGTTTTATTGAGTGCCGCGGTGTCTCGTTAAATATTTAACTTTCCATGTTGAAAGCGGGCAGGAAAAGCCCATAGAAGCACTTTGCACGATGAATTCTAAAGAACTGCAGTTTCTTCATCACTACGTCGTAACAATAAATGAATGGCACACAGCGCAGCCTGAGAGCAATGTGTGGTTGTTGCTACAAGTGCTCCCATACGTAATGGTTGACCTGCATGTTTGAAAGCAAAACGCATTCAAACTGCGCTTGAGTCAGAGGAATGCCCCCCCACGGAGTGCAGGACAATGAGGCATAGCTGACGTAGCAGGAAAAGAAACTTCACTCAGAACAGAATGTGTTCTGACCCAGTAAACACTAATCCTTTTATATCATGTGTTTACTATCTCCTGTAAACTGATACGTAATGGCCTGGGTGCAGGATATTATTTTGCTTAATAACATTTATTTTTTCCCCCCACTGTCAGAATGGAATAGTACACCGGGACCTGAAACTGGAAAATATTTTACTAGATGGCAACGGCAATGTGAAGGTATGTGTATGGGCCATAATCCAACATGAACACACACACAAATGTTCCTAAACGTGGGATCAAATCTGTAGTTTTAGGGTATTATAAATTTGTGTGGATGGGATTAATAATGAAAGCGGATGGTGTTTCCTTCAAAAGTAATTTAAAAGTAATGTTTAATATTTTAGAAGTTCTTGTGTAAAAAAACTATGATTCACTATGCAATCTTTAAAATCACACTAGTATGTTTTATGAGTTATGTTGACTTGTATGCAAATCTTTTTCGGTCATTTCCTTTCTGCAGTAATCTGATTGCATGCAACAGATCTGACTTGCTCAGCCTGACTTCCCTTCGTTGTTCTTGCAGATCGCAGACTTTGGGTTGTCAAACCTCTTCCATGGTGATGAGTACCTTCGAACCTTTTGTGGAAGCCCTCTATATGCTTCCCCGGAGATCGTCAATGGGCGGCCGTACCGTGGGCCGGAGGTGGACACTTGGTCTCTGGGTGTGCTACTGTACACCATGGTTCATGGTAATATGCCATTCGACGGAAACAACCACAAGGCATTGGTCCAACAGATAAGCACCGGAAACTATCGTAAACCCATCAATCCCTCTGGTATGTCTTTCAGCTGAACTATTCTTTGACAGATTATTTCGTCTATATATTTATTTTCTCACTCAAAATCCCGTCTGTTTCTTTGTTGCGCTCTCCCAGACGCATGTGGGCTTATCCGTTGGATGCTGATGGTCAATCCTGAGCGCAGAGCCACAATCGAGGAGATTGCAGGACACTGGTGGCTCAACTGGGGCTATCAGCAGCCGTTACTGGCTGAGGCAAAGAGCAGTCCAGTGGAGCAGAACTCTCCACCAGCCCCGGCATCAGCGTCCTATCCTGCCGGGCTGGCCCTTGTTGGAAGTTGGCTGCGTCGAACATCCAGGCCTTTGCTGGAGAACGGCTCCAAGATGCGCTGCCTGCTCCGCTCGCAGGGCGGCGGAGGGGACGTGGTCCGGCAACGGTCTCTCCGACGGTCCCGAAAGGAAAATAACGTCTCCCAGACCATTCACGAAGTAGGACCTGAGAGTCGTCCCTCTAAGGGGATCCTAAAGAAACGCAACAGTGTGAAGCAGAAGGCCACGAGCGAAGTCCCTGCTGTAGGTTCAGTGGAGCCAAAGAAGCTTTTGGGTTTGCCTGCACCAGCTGATGCTCCTTCAGCTGCTCTGCTGCCTCGCAAAGGTATCCTAAAGAAGCGAGCAGGGCAAGAGTCCGGGTACTACTCCTCCTCTCCCGAGAACAGCGACTCTGGCTGGGCTTCACAGACCAAAGAGTGCCCTTCAGCGCCCACTCATAGGAAAGGCATCTTGAAGCGCAACGGGAAGTTCTCCTCGGGTAGGCTGCAGGAGTTTGGCTCTCTGGATCAGCTGGCGGCTTCTCTACCCTGCGGTGGCGTCAGCTCGAGACCCGGCGGGGCGGTCAGCGCGGACAGCATTCTGTCCTCCGAGTCCTTCGACCAGCTGGATCTGCCGGACCGCGTGGGACCTCCGGCACAAATGGAGAAACCAGCCAAGTCGAGCATGAGGGGATGCGTGTCTGCTGACAACCTGCTGGACATCACAGAGGACGGGATCCTCGGGGGCGGGTCTCTGAGGCCCTGGAACTGCTACCGGTCTGGAGTGGCTGACAGCGCCTTTTCCATCACAGACTGTGATAATGTGACGGAGGCCTACAAACGGGCCGTGGCTGTACGAGGCTCTGCAGCAAGCTAAAGACCCGTAACTGGCGTAGGACCCTAAAGACTGCTACACTACTGAAGACGTGTTTGCCAAAGTGTATAGAATTCACTTCACCAGCACACTGTTGTGATAATCACTTTGGCGAACTTCAGGAACCGCACATCACCAAAAAAGCAGAAAAGCTTGTTGTTAGATGTCTGATTGTATTTTAGACGGAGATGAATGTTTTTATGTATAAGTAGTAGCTTGTGATTTGAATTAGAGTAAAACAGGTGGAAAATATCCAGGCAGCGCAGCATTCTTACAAAAATGATGCTGCAGTTTAAAATGTCCATTTCAAAGACTCAGGAGAGGAGCGCTGCATTTCAATTTCAACATAGATTATTATCAAAGTGGAGTTAAAGTAAAAAGTCCCTCAGGAACAAGAACAGTAGCCTTCAATATGAAGAAGTGAAAGCTCTCCAAACCAATCACTCATTTACAATAAACCAAGAGACCGACATTAGGAGACACAATAGGACTTCTGTTTAAAGAAGTCAGTCTGTGACTTTTATTGTCGACGGGGCGGTTTGAGAAAGTGTTTGACTAAACCGCTTTATGGGATTCCTGCCGGATTGCGATCCTCTGTCATTATACTTATCTTGGAGAACGGCAATAAAACACAGGTTTGATGTTAAGACGGGTATAATCCAGCTTTTACTAAGCTTCAGGATGTGGGGAGAATTAAGTTTAATGAATACCAAAGAGTAAGTTTGCCAATGTCTTTTGGGTTTTTTTTGTTTTTTTTGTTTCTCTATTAAAGCAACAGCAAAAAGTGCCAAGAGGATATTTGTTTGTAAAAGGGACTTCAGCTCTTGTGTGCATTTGTTTTTGTTTTTTAATTCTCGTTTAAGGTTTGGGTAATGACTTGAAAAACAATCATGATCGAGCGTAACTAGTTAAACCTGTTACTGCTCGCCAGCCGGCGCTGATGCACGTAGACAGATTGTCCGTCACTCTCCATATGGGTGCCACTTGCAAAGGAAAGGTGCAGATAATTTTTTTAAAAGTTGAAAAAAGTAAATGGCAGTGAGGTGTATTTTGAAAGTGTACAATGTGCCCCAGCTGACTGCTGTGTACAATGTGTAACAAGTCATGGAGCTTAAGTGTGTGGTTTTTTTTTTTTTTTGTGGGACAGTATTTCACAAAGCCAGTAAACTGTACTAGAGGTTTTATCCTGGTGACCCTTTTAATGGTCAAGCAGAGCTTATGTACCAAGTTTACAACTAAAATCATGAAAACTGCATCCTAATAATGATTAAGTCTTAAAGAATATCTGGTTCATAAAATATGTACTGGTAATCGGAGAGATTTACGTTGGTATGTTTCTGTATGTCATGCTGCACACTGGAGTTACTTTATTAGATTGACATGCTGGTATTACAGTAGAACATCAAGCCGGCGTTGCATCAGACCATTCAAACCGCATGTGTCGTCATTTAAGTTTGGAGTTCTGAGGCTGCAAAACTGGAATTGCAAAAATATATATATATATATTTTCACTTATGGTATTTGTTTTTGCCACAATGATATCAGGAATTTAAAACTGAAATGTACATTCTTGTCATTCATTTCTAATGTCCCAGGCATTATTTTTCTTTTGTTCAATGTGTATTTCGTCACTGTGTCTCCCCCACCCCCACTTTGTCCCAGAAGTTGTAGGTATCCAGGCTCTGTTCATGTATTTTCTTTCATTTACAGCAACAAAAAACATCTTTGCCAAAGATACTGGACTTATTAATAATATGACCGTGTGATCGGTCATGCTGTTATGACGGGAGAATAAATCAATAAAAAAGAGCTGACTAATGTGATTAGTAACATACATGCATGTTAACAGAACTGGTTTATAGCCACAAGGGAGTTCATGAAGCGTTCAGACAAGAAACATTTTCAAACTTATTACAACTGTTCACATATAAAGTCAATACATTTTCAACCAATCCAGATAAGTGCTGATATATATCAATACATATGAATACAATATATAACATTTAAAATGTGCAAACATCGCTACTAGAATTCAGTGCGAGTGATGTGGCTCGGTTTTGTGGCTGTAAAAGTATTATTTAGTCATTCGTGTCAGGAAGGGGTGATTTTAGCTTCAGTTCCTGAGGCACTGGGACTGGTGTAAAGACAACATCCTGAAAGTCTGCAGGGGTGTAGCTGATCTCTGAGCTGTGTGCTCCTGATCTGCAAACACAGGCTTGGTGATGGGAACAAGAGGGCAGGCTGAGCTCCAACACGCTTCCCAGCTGGTCATAGCAGAGGAGGGCCGAGCTCTGTTCAGGGTCAGATTGAGAGAAAAGCAACCATAAGTTCATCAGTGGACAGATACTGTGGCTGTTGACCAATACTGCATGTGCGTGGTTGTCTTTCTAAACATGCATCTGACGGTCTGTTCTTTGGCTCCAGACTGTTTGAACAGGGAGATTTCTAAAGCGAATCGCCAACATGCCAGTCAATATTGACAACAGGACAAAGTCAAAGAGATATTATGTAAAAATGTCAGTTAAACATTACCCGTACCAGATCAATGTCCAATAGGTCGACCAGAAACATTATCACCGGAACAGGGGAGACGACGGCGTCCGTTAACTTTAGCCTCTGCATGGCGATGCTCACGCAGGCACATGCAATAGTGGAGGGCAAGAACACTGAAAACCTGCAGTCTGACGATAGGGAAAGAAGATTACTTCCTTTTTCAATTTAAAGAATCATACATAAAACCATATTTTAAAAGATATTATATCTATATATTTAAGATGGCCCCCTACAATTCACCGAAGGTACTCGTAGCCTATTGCAAATAGTAGGAAAGTCAGTAAAGGCTAGATGTCGACAGTTAGACGGATTCCACTATTGCAGACACACCTTGATGTACAAAAGCCGACATTTCCCAAAACCCGATAAGCTGGTAGAATATCCTAATTGCCTCAGGCGGGAGACACGATGAAAGGACAAGTCTAACATTCAATCCATGCAGAAACACCTTTTTCAATGAGTTAATAGGACGGAGGCATCGGAATTGTCTTAATTTTATGGGCATAGTGCGTGTAAAACCGCAGCGACGGACTCTCCCTGTGACCTGTTGCCTCGGGCAGCGCCACAGAGATTCGTGGGAAATCAGCCAGCTGAATAGTTGGACTGAGGTCTTTCACAGTAGACAATACGGGATTACACAAACTCAGCCCTTCTGTCTCCAGAATGAACTGCTGACGCATCGCGATCAAAAGTTTTGGCTCCTTTGTGTTCATTGTTATGTGCAAATGTCACGGTCATGTTTAACCCTCACTAAAGGAGGAATATAACAGGGCTAATTTTACTGCACTGAAACAATTGGGCACAGAAATAATTAATCACTACAAGAAATATATTCAAAAGTATTTTTTAACATTTGAATCCATTGTCAATGCATATTGTCTTTGCATGTGATCATTTTTGGAATGACAAAAAATATACATGTCACGTGTTGGCAACCCAGTGCTGTAACTTACCAATGGCCACCAGAGCGATATAGGAGTGCACGTGGCGTCGCACGTTGGGAAGGAGGTGGGGCCGAACTAAGGGCAGAGCGTGAAGCACCGGCCCCAAGAAGTCAGAGGGAACCACAGAGGCCAGACACCAGTCCAACCGAGAAACCACTGTCAGCTCCCAATGCTGCAGCGCGCGCGCGCACACACACACACACACACACACACACACACTCTACAGTCAATATTATGTGCGCTTATTATTTATATATTTAATAGAAATACGAGTTACCAGAATGTCTGATACGGAAATGGAGTTGTCTGTGTAGATGCAAAGCTTGATGGCCGTCAGATGGACGGTCTCTCTCATTTTGGAGGCCAGGAACATACAAACGGCCCCTAAAAGCTGCAGGTTGCGTTTTTGCACGGCGAACCTGCCCAGGTAACAGTCCAGGTATTGCACCGCCAGCGGAAACACCTCCTCCTCACATCTCTGTTCCTCGCACACCTTCAAGACAGACACGCCGCATTGTTGTAATTTATTTCAACCGGACGACACACGCTGTCATTGTGACCGATTGGTACACCTGAAACATCCACACTGCCAGTATCCTCCGCATGTGGGGCTCGATGTCCGTCTGGACCACCCGGAGGTCCGGGGCCCGCGGGCAGGTCTTCTCCAAGGCCGTCAGGTTGTGCAGTGTTCGGAGGTCGCCGTTCACGGGTTGGTCGCTGCCCGCACGCACAACCACGTCTAGCTCCGCGTCGGCGGCGTTTACGTCTCTGGATCCACGCGGAAGCCGTCTGTCCTCACGAGGATCCATTCGAAGTAGTAGACTGGAATGGCCTTCAAAATGGCCGCGGTTAGTTGGCCGTTATTCCGTTAGCTAACGTTAGCTAGCTGTGCTAACGCTCCCGCGACGTTCGCTAACTTAACTTAACCAGCTTGTTTTAAAGAGGTCCTTTCAAATATCGGCCATTAACAGGCTCGACTGGAAATAGGATTTGTTTGTTATGAAACGTAATTTCATTGATTACATGTTTTTAACTAACGTCATGCTTGAAGCAATGCGGCCGAAGTTACTTGTATCACAGAAGCAAGAATCATTCGTTTTCTGATTTCCCAAAATCAACTGACGTTAAACCAAATTATTCTGAATTTGAATTAAAACCGCTACGTTTTATTTGATTTAAAATTACACATTTACTACTTTAGTCTTAAAATTGACAATTCAACACAAACTGTTATATGTATCTTATTACTGGTATTTATGGATTTAACGTCAGTTTATGAAATATCATCCAGGTGTCTTCCTTCTGCTTTGATCACCACTAGCTGAAGGCCACGTAATCCCAACATAGTGTCCCAACATAGTCTGTAGAAGGCCGACATCGCTGTGGCCGAGGGCTACGAAATCGATTAAACAGTTTTTTACTTTGTTGACCAGTGACAGTAAAAGGTTTCTTGAAATAGTCATTTCACTTTTTAGGTCTTTCTCTGTTGTTTTAATATTTGTATACTAGTTTTCAGATACAGTTCAATCCCAAAAGATTTCAATTGACAGTTTTGACAATGTTCCAGAAAAGACAAACGGTGTATATTGCAGGTAGATAATGTAAATGTTTTTAAAACCCAGCTGCGGATAGAAAGTCAACATACAATGGTAAGAAATACATTTTTAAGCTTTAGTAAACTTAATTCATTTGTAATTGAAAGTGTTGCTTCAAAACAACAAGGTTTCCATAATCAAACAAAAACAAATGACAGTCTGAGTATTTGAAACACTGTATTTAAACGCCGCTATTTTTCTAAACTGTCCCTTCTAGTCAGATAAAATAACCAAGTTGGAATTAACCCAGCACCAGACCAGTCTAAATCCTCAGTCCATCTCCACAGTAACAGGGAGCCCAATTTCGAGATCCCTCGATTCGGAATTTTGCAATTCTCTGCGAATCTCTGCAGAGATCTGAGGGTGTGTTTGTATCTTCAGCATCTCCAGCAGTGCAGTCTTCTGTTCGGAAGCCAGGTCAGCCTTGTACCGCTGAGCCATGGTGAGCAAACTCTGATGCCACAGCACAGGAAGCTCACGTTTTTCATTGCGGAAGGACAGGAAGTGGGCCACCAAGGCATCCAGGACACGGAAAGGCAGGGCGTATTTCTTGTCAAGCAGGAGGCGCAGGAAAATGCTGTTGGCACCGTTGTACTCCATCTCTGCCAACTTAAGCATCGCAGCGCTGAAAGACAAGAACAATTCCCGCATATTGTGCAACCTCCCACGTTGCGTAAATTTGAACATTTCTCCTCTTGCCGACACGCCACAAACCAAAGCAGCGAAGCACAGCCAGCTGAATCCTACCTGGAGTGGAGCACAGGGATCGAGCACTTTGTGAGAATGCTTCCAATGATGATGGCTTCCCTTAGAGTACATGTTCCTGATTCACACAGAGGAAGCAGTATACCTGTAGGACAGAAGAGGCCAAATATATCAAATAAGTATTCCTGTACTTCAATAAGAGTCAGTGATAAGCATGGCTTTTTGGTGCTCTGTTCAGTCGATTAAAGCTCCACAAACACTGAATCCAACCATTAAAAAAAAACATCTTCAAGTTGTGCCTTCTTTACATTATATGGGACAGATGGTAGTGATGGAAATATGTTTATGTCTTAAGAACATAAACCCCATCTGAGATTGTTGTATGTTTAACCCCAAATTAACTCACCGGTTTCATCAGTTAACTAAATTAACTCCAATATCATTGATGGGAAATTACCATTTGTGACTTATGGTTCTTTTGCTCTAATTTTGTGGCAGTTCAGGGTATTCGTGAGCAACACTGCCACTTAGTGGATTTGTCTCATACTGGTGTTTTAAATATAGGTCATGGGATGTTTGGGGGACACTAGTTGCATTAAATGGTGACAGGTTGTTCACAAAAGGAGACAAACAATTACAGCCGAAACAAAGGATACATTTTACCAAATTAAATTTGAGTTTGCTTATTTCTTAGCTTCCACAACCAATGGCGTTATTTTCCTTGTGTAGACTAAAAGCATTTCTAAATGACACGTCCCAGAAAGCCGGTATAAGCTGTCAATTCCTCTCATTTAATTTTATCCACTTTTTTTTTTTTTCAAGGGTCAGATAATAACTAGTAATATGCCAGCTTCAGTTGTCTGTCTGCACGGCACATTGGTAACAATTGTACTGCATTTACTTTCTGCCTACCCTTTGCTTAAAAGAACAAATGTATTAAATCATACAAATTCAGAATGTGGATCACAGCTAGAAGGGTTCCCCTAATGAATTCAATCAAGAAGAAAATTCATATGATTACAGATTAACAATATCAGGACTTAATCAGAATTTGCCCCCCTCCCCTTTGACTGGGCCAAACAAGCCTTCACATACTTATGAAGGCTGCAACTAATGATTTTGATCATTTATATTTCTAAATTTTTCTTGATTTACCACTTGTTCTTTAAAACCAAATCAACTGTATTTTATATTTGCATGGGTGCATTATAATATGGCAATATGTTCTTCAAAAAGCAAAGATATCCAGTTTATTGTAATGTAGGACATGCAAGAACATTTGCAACACTTGGGAGAATTTTTGCTTGACAAATGAAAGATACTTGATATTTCCTATTTCACATTCAACAGTTGTTGCCCGCTCTGATGTCAATATCTTCTTGCTTTGAAAAAATCAAAACCAAATATGCATTAAAAGGGCCTCACCTTTAAACCACGCTCCTGGTTTGAACAAGGCCTTTTTCAGAGCACTGTAGAGATGAAAGTTGAGTCGCTTGTACTCTGCAATATCGTCCCGTACTCGGGGCAGCAGCACCAAGTTGTAAAACCTCTGAGCCATTCGCTCTTTGAGATTGGACGAGAAGATTCTAGAAGAAAGGGATGGAGGAAAAACACTTTATTGTACCGTGTTTTAATATCTGCAGTGAATAAGGGAACGTGCTCGGCGTTTGGATGAAACAACAACGGCGTCTGGAGACTCACCGTGTTGCTTGGTACATGGCCGCTGCTGTCCAGGTCTCCGGGTCAGTCAGATAAAGAATCTGCTCCCAGTTTGAAAGAGCCGGGACTATTTTAAAAGCCTTTGGCAATTTACCGCTGCGATATTTAGATAGAACCTAAAACAAAAGAACATTCGGTCACATCTTGAGACTTACAGCCAGGCAATAAATCGAGACTTTCAACAGTTAACTGGAAAAAAACTCACCTTATTGACACCTCTGTACACTTCTACTACCCTCGGGTCCAGTTGGGGCATCGGACGCCCTGACACCTCCGACATCACTGTCCCTACCTCGGTCTGCTTCTCTGTAATCTTCTCCATGATGATATCAGCTAAGGTCCGTCTACAAAGAGAAAGCCCAGCTGAGCATTTACACCAAAAACTGAGCTGCTGTCGTGCGTCATTAAAACGCAAACTCCAACAGCTAGATTCCAAATGAAGCCGGGATTATGTTGCAACTTGCCTCAGTGGAGGGTTTTTATTCATGAACATCTCCATGGCCTTCTCGTCGTCCGGGTCAATGACGACCTCGGTGTCACACACAACATGGCTTTCATCAGCACCTGCCGCTCCCAATGCCGGCCACTCCTCATCGGAGTCTCCATCCTGGGAGTCAGGCCCTGAGATTTGATCACAAGACAAAGATGGTCAATATTTAGGTGAACTTCCTTGATTAACTGAATCCTCTGAGTGGGCTTTACAATATCAGACCCATTCACCATGTTCACTATGCTAATGACTCAAGTATGTGAATTTATAACAGTGCGTTATAAATAAAATGTACAATTATTAACTGACACAGCAGGTGAAATAGTACAGGTTAAATGCACACATAGTAGAGCAGATAAGCCGTGACACAGAAGTGCATTGAAATAACTATTAATCAAATTAATTACATGTCAAATACAACGGAATAGATTTCCAATAATCCGGATGCTGTTCACAGCGAGGAGGACAGACCGAGGACATTACCGAGGACGGTGACTGGTGTCTTCTTCTTCTTCTCCGGGGCCAGACCATACTCGGCCTGAAGCTCATCTTGCTGGATTCGCGCCTGTTGGAGGATCTTCCGAGAGAGACGTTCGTCCACGTAGTTGTCCTCGTTTTGCGCCCGGCTGTCCCTGCTCTTCACTCGGCCTCCGCCTCGCGTCGTGTCCGCCTGCAGGATCTGCTCCGCCAGCGGCATCGCTCCTCCGCTCACCTCCGCTCCTCCACCTCTGGATCTTTTCACTTTGGGCATCGTTGTTGTTCGACAGAAGGCGAAGTTGTACTATCAGGGTTGTTTTGAGGTCATTTGCTATGGTACCTTTAAAAAGTACTGTAAATAGTCGCGTTTTCAACACGTGCGGATGTCCATTGCAGGACGGAAGTGACGTAACGTTAGTTTGCGTCACGTAACTTCGAAACGTCGCGTGAATTTAGAGTCGTCTTAACTGTTCTTGTCTGCAACCAAATATTTTATTTTTGAAAATGTTTGGCTATCTTGTTTTCTAAATAGTTTCGGATGTTAGTTTAAAATGTATATATAATATATACATCTGATTTACGTTAGCTAGCGGAAGACAAATGTTTCACCCGGAAGTACTCAACGGACAACCAAGAAAACATTGGAGCCAAAGCATCAATGGGGGTCACTTGGTGAGATAAACATTATGTTTTTAGCTAACGTTACACTCAAACTTTAAACCGTGATTGAAAACAACACGTAATGTAATTGTAATAGAGCGTATCTTCATTATCTGACCACAGCCATCGCACTTTGTGTTCACTTATCGGCGCTTCGTCGCTCGTTGTCATTCACACGACGCTCTGCGGATCTTTCTCATAAACTCACACGGACGTAATGACTCGAATGAGAATCTCACTTGCAGATTGCGCAGGCTTTTTCTAACTTGACGTGGTGCTTTGGTTGTTTCTGCAGTGTGTGCCAGGTGCCTGTGTCAGAGGGGAAGAGTGTGCAGCAGACAGTGGACGTCCTGCACAAGAAACTGGAGCAGCTGGGTGCTGTGAAGCAGGGCAGCTTCTGTGTGGACTGTGAGACTTACCATGCAACGGGAAATGTCAGCGGTAATGTTTCATTCTGTCGATTGTCTATGAACGTCATCAGGGAGTAAATCACGATTTGTAGCCCATAATGTTGCTCTCTAAACCTGGAGTCCTACATTTCCCATATTACCACTATGTGTAAATGCATATATTTCCCATATTAGTAGCGAAATTATTTAGACCACCCCTGTCTCAGAGAGCCAAAGAGAATTTGATTTAAATGTTTTAACTACATTGAGTGCTACTATCAATACAATAATTAAATAATAGTCTAGTAAATACAAAGATCTTTCATTAAATAGTTTAGCTTCGACTGCATATGTGTAAGAAATAGCAGCATATTTTTATGTTTGCAAGCTTTTTCTGTAAGTAACTGACTGCTCTGCTAAGGTTGTGAGATAAATGTAATTGAATAAGGAAATACAAATTACAGCATGTAATTGATTGAAATTCTTCTCAACTCCTAACAAATATTTCCTGTCTGTTACAGGTCAGCCCACCAAGCTCTTATACGTGATGCACAACTCGGAAACTCCCCTGAGCTGCATGGGTCTATTTGAAGGCGGACCCTGCATGATAGCCGATGCAAACTTTGACGTCCTCATGATTAAGTTAAAAAGTCACTTTCAAAATGCCAAGGGGCACAAAGTGGAGTGCCGTGGTTCTCGATACCGTTACTGTGACTTCTTGATTAAGGTCGGCACTGTGACAATGAGCTCCAGTGCCAGAGGGATATCGGTAGAGGTATGTTAAATGCATAACAGGGAGAGTGGAAACATGGCATTTTCCCACCGTGTCTGCACTAACGCGTTGTGTCTTTCCCCAGGTGGAGTACTGTCCTTGTGTAGTCCCAGGAGACTGCTGGAACCTAACAAAGGAGTTCATGCAATCCTTCCTTGGCCCTAGCGTCCCTGAACTGCCTTCTGTGTTTGCTGCCAAGCCTGAAGGACTCTTTGCACCATCCGACGGCGTGGACACGATGACTCAGTACCTGGAGTTGTTCAACAAACTTCGTAAACAGCAAGTCCCGGGAAGCAACGTGCGTTGAATTGTTCACGGCAACGGAGACTTATCTTTGTATTGATGTTGCTTTAACTCTGGTCCTGTGGATCAGCATGTTATACAGTCAGTCATTTTTTATTTTTTTATTTCCATTTCTGGAGCCTCAACATTGCAATAAATCTTCCTATTTGATCAAATAATCTTGTATAAAAGACTTATTGGAGAACAGTAGTTGGAATCAGTGTGTCGGATCAGTGCTTGTGATAAGAAGTGTATAAACACTCATACATACTTTTTTAATACATACATAATTTTCTCTTGGTGGGGATGAAACCTTCTTGTGTGAGACAGTTCTAGCTAAAAAATAATAAAACACATCTTATTAGATCACCAACAGTGGATGTTGATGAAAGGATGGAGGATTTGCAGGAGGTAAGAATAAATGAATGAAAAAGCTGTACACATATAAGGACGATGTTGCCTGCTGAAATGCTGTGTAAAAACTAAAAACAATTTATACATGTTATATAAATAAATGTTATATGTTGAAAAAAGGTTTTCCATTTTCTAATGTCACAATCAGGGCATTAAAGAAACAAAACCCTTTCAGAAGTGCTACATTAATATATAATACTACCGGTATACAGTTTCAGCCGCTTTAAATCACAATCAATGAAATAGCCCCTAAATCTAGATGTTGCCCCTTTCCACAATAACAAAATACCACATCACATTGCTTAAAAGTTGCACAACGCATCCGATCAGATTACAGCGGAGCAGCTGGCACATGGGGAACATGGGTCTTTCGGGGACGTCGCCATCAGCAGCTCAGGGAGAAATGGTCCTCGGAAAGACCGACGATGTGCGGTCTGTCCTCGGTGTATTGTTCCATGTGGCATCGGTGGGCGGACGGACGGTCCACCCCACTGGCTGGTTATTCAGCACTTCCTCCAATCAGAGCCCGTCTGCCGCTCCGTCCCGGTCCAATCAGAGCCCGGCTGCCGCGGTGGCCCCGTCCAATCAGAGCAGCGGGGTCTGGGCTCGGATCGAGAGTTGGGTTGTTCAATCCGCGAGGAGGACAACAACCAGCCACAGAGTATACCGGATGGATGGATGTTGGTGATGGTAACGTTACCCAGCTTTATCCGTTATCAGATGTTAAATGTACTAACGAGCACAGATGAGGCCCTGCGGTAACGTCCACCCCATCAACCGGCTTTCTAAAGGTGAAAGTCACCGCGGAGTTTTCCAAACGGTCAACGGCGCTGCTCGCTAGCGAGCTAAGCCGTTAACACTTAACGTTAGTAAACGTTAGCGACCGACAACAACCGTTAGGTTAACTCCCGATTGTCCTCCGCGGACGCGTTAGCCTCGGAGCTAACGCTAGCCACTACGGCAAGCTATTAACATCAACGTTAGCTACTTGGCACAGAGCGAACCATGTGTGTTTTAAACGAAGTAAGACTGTTAGAGGAGACGGCAAAGCGCGAGGCACCGCTAACCGCCCGCGGAGCTGCCCTGGTTAGCGTTAGCGGCGTTAGCTAACTTATGGCTCGCTCAGCTGCCTCGCACCAACAAAGTTATTGGATGTTCCTGCAGAGTGGCTCTCTGACTGCTCTTTGTTCTGGCTGAACATGGTGATGGTGGTGTAGCTTAGCATTGGCGACAAGAGCCAACCATTTTAATCCGGGACGAGAGGCGTTAAAACACGGGACAGACGCAGTTTGGGGATATTGTAACGTTAGTAACGTCGCACGCGTTAATATACACGTACCAACATAGCGCGATGTTGTCGCATGCGACCCCGAGAGAGACCAGTTGCACCGAGCTGCAAGTTCGCGGTGTCTTTTCGTTAAAATGTTGAGTTTTAAAGTCTTTGGTGATTCGGCTACACAAAGGGAAAAGCACGGAGAAGGCAGATAATTACGTGAATTCACCGCATGACTAAAACGGACACCGACATTCCCCTTGAGTCCCCCCCCCCCCCCCCCCCAAAAACCTGCCAAAAAGTTTGGGTGGGAATTTACAAAAAAAAAAGAATCCCCAAAAAAAAAATAAAAAAAAAGAACAATCCTTTTTGTTCCCGGGAAACTGGAATATTTTCAAAAAGCGGGTATAACTAAATGCCAATACAAACATACTCTTTTCACCATAGCAACCATCTGTTTAGTTTTATGGTTGTCAATAATCTGTACTAATAATCCTATGGAATGTCAGGTTAGGTGGATTTCTACAGCCTGGGGTTACTTCCAATGTCTCAACAGGATTACAATATCTACATCTATTATTATATATATACATATACATAATAATAGATGTTGCTCCACGCAGCCTGAGCTCTCAGTGAAGTCAGGAAAAAGAAAGGCCTCTCATGAGCCCCAAAGCCTCGCGTTCATCAAGTGGTTTTTACACATCGGCTTGTTGCTCTGCATATCACCACAACATCCGTCACAATGTGACGCACCATTTTGTGAAGCGGTTTAGCCGTCGTGTTAATTTCTCGAGATCTGATATTGGGGTTTTTTTAAGTTGTGAAAAGTATTGAATGTCTTTTATGAGTACTTTTATAAAACAGATTTTTTTGTGATCGTCATTTTAGAAAACCCACAGTTCGATCCGCGCTGTAAACATAAACCATTTGATCTGTCTGCCTTTGCAAATTATCTATAATTTTTCCGCTAGTGGCTATTTCCAGTGTTTGTGAATATGTGTCCTTGAAGTGGAAAGATACTTAGTTGTTTGGTGACTCGTTCTCTCAAGAAATGCTTTCAATTGTTGTTTCATTAATGTTCTTGGCTTTGGTGCATCGTCTCCATATTTAATTTTAAAAATCTGTTTGTAAAAGAGACCACTTTTGATTTTATTAACCAGCGTTCTCATGCAACTATTCCCTGTTTCTCAGAATGCTCTTGTTGATCACAGCGGTGACATGGACTTGAGTGATCGATCAAGTTCTGTGCAGATCATGTGATGTGTTGTCCCGAACCGTATCAAGCAAACGACTTTTACAGTGAGTAAACCGTATCATTTGCTGTCATTCTTTGTGCAGTATGGTGCTTATTCAACACATGAGTCCTACTGCATGTGTGTTCCTCAGTCCTCTTGATGGATTCTATGCAGATCTTAATCTTCCTTTTTTTCCCTTCTGTTAATCCCACCTCCAGAATGAGGTGCTCCTTGGTTACAGGACGTGTGTCCTTTCAGTGAGGCCACATGTGTATCGGCAGAGATGGATCGTTGTAAGCACGTGGGACGCCTCCGCCTGGGCCACGACCATTCAATCCTAAATCCACAAAAATGGCACTGTGTGGCCTGCAGCACCACCGATTCCGTGTGGGCCTGCCTCAAGTGCTCCCACGTGGCCTGTGGACATTTCATGGAGGAGCACTCGCTCAAACACTTCCAGGAGTCACAGCACCCACTGGCCATGGAGGTGCGGGAGCTGGATGTGTTCTGCTTTGCCTGCGGAGACTATGTACTCAATGATAATGCGGAGGGAGACCTCAAACTCCTTAGAGGTGCCCTCTCGACAGTTCGCAGTCCGGGCAGACGCTCACTCCGCTCCTCAACTGGGGGTGAGTGCGCCTCCTGGGTTGGCGAAGGCGGGACACAGCCCGCCATGCAGTTGGCCTCGCGTCACAGGAGAAAAGCCCTTCTTGGGAAAATGCTCCGGATGTGGATCGGTAAACATCAAGACCTGCAGAATGTGCGTTTAGAGAAGCTCGAGGAAGCTAAAAGACAAAAAAAAGAGGTTAAGAGGAGACTCATGGAGGAGCTGGGCAGCGTCCCTCCCAGAAAGAGTGCTAGGCTTCTTACTCAGGCGCCACGTTCGACCATCACACTCATTCCTTGCAAATTCCGTGACCCTCCGGAACGCCTACCCCCTCCTCTCGCCCCCAAGAAGCCCTCCCTTCTCACCCTGTCCCGTAAATCTCCTCAGAATGGCCGCGCAGCTAAACTGAGGAGGTACTACTCGACTCACACGGTGACCCGGCGGAGGCTCGCTCCAGGTGTCACCGGTCTGCGCAATTTGGGGAATACATGCTACATGAACTCAATATTGCAAGTGCTGAGTCACCTGCAGAAATTCAGGGAGTGTTTCCTCACTTTGGACCTGTGTGAGACCGAGGAGCTGCTGGCCAAGACCAACAACTCGCAGGAGACAAAGGGCGTGGCCGGAGGCGTGGTCAGCAGCGCTAACACGCCGCTGTCAGGGGGTCCTCTTGGGCGCGTGGGGGAACCAGGCAGTTGGAATTTGGCCCCGGGCAAAAAGGAAAGTACCCCACTTTCCCCACAGGCCTCGGAGTTGGTCCAGCCCAAGGAGCCTCGCTGCTCCACCCGCCAGCAAATGTCTCTGTGCCATGAGTTGCATACGCTGTTCAGGGTCATGTGGTCCGGCCGGTGGTCTTTGGTGTCTCCGTTCGCCATGCTGCACTCTGTGTGGAACCTCATCCCTGCGTTCCGCGGGTACGACCAGCAAGACGCCCAGGAGTTCTTGTGCGAGCTGCTGGACAAGGTGCAGCAGGAGCTGGACACGGAGGGGTCCAAACGGAGGATCGTGATCCCCATTACAAAGAGGAAACTATCCAAGCAAGTGCTGAAGGTTCTCAACACCATCTTTCATGGGCAGCTCCTCAGCCAGGTGAGACGTGACATATGTAGGATTTATCCGTAAACATTTAAAAACACGAATGAAAGCTCCTTCTCATGAGTGAGATGCAAATGTAGACGAAAAAACGGATGTTTTTTTATGTTATTAATATCACTCAGAACAGGCTTTCAGGATTCTGCATCCCCGACTTGAGGCATTGTGATTACAATTAATCTGTTTCACAGCGATGTGTCTAATCATATTCTTTCTTTCTCTGTCGCTACAATTCTCATCACAAGACATTGTATTACTCCGACACTTATTAATGTAATGATTACACTTGACAAACATCACGACTAACCCATTTCTCTTCTCGCTGTGTGTTCTCTCTTTTTTATTTTTTTTATTTTTTTTTAGGTGACGTGTCTGTCCTGCAAGCACAAGTCTAACACAGTTGAGCCATTCTGGGATTTGTCTTTGGAGTTTCCGGAGCGATACCACAGCATACACAAAGGCTCAGGTGCTACAGCTTACCAGCGGAGCTGCACCCTCACCGAGATGCTGTCCAAGTTTACGGAGATGGAGGCTCTTGAAGGCAGCATCTACGCCTGCAACCACTGCAACAGTTAGTCACATTTTGAATCCAATGCAGAGCAGAGTGAGGGCAGCAGGTTTTTAAAAAGATTTCAAATGTATTATCTGTTAAGGTTTGTCCTCTGCAGCGAGAGTTGGTTGAATCTGAACAAATTCAGGATGCCTGGACACGATTTCACATGTCTGACAAACTGTCTAGTTAATATTTATGTGTGCCATTAAGTTATGGAAATAACGTTCCATCCTTTCATCGCATATAAAGATATTTGACCCCAAGTGCAGGATCTAGTGCTCGCATTCATTTAGTTTAAATGATATGCATTTTAATTAGAAAAACTGCCCTTTAAAACAAAATACATGTACAAAATGTTTGTACAATAATGAATTCAGCATCGAGGCAGACTGCAAAAGAATATTTTCTTTTGCAGTCGAAGGCTTATATATTGTAAGAATGTGCAGCAACTCTCCACTGAAACAAAGCCTCATATCAGTGACACTCATTCGTATTGACTGTGGATTCATTCATCAGCTCAATGCGTCGTGTTTTTGCTAGGAAGAAGACGGAAATCATCCCGCAAACCCTTAGCCCTGTCGGAGGCTCGTAAGCAGCTTCTGATCTACCGTTTACCTCAGGTTCTACGGCTGCACCTCAAACGCTTCAGGTACGTTTGGTTCTGATGCTTACTGTTAAAGACCTTTTAAAAGTGCTTGACTACAAATAGCGCTCCTGCTTGTGGTGGTGCTGGCGAGGCTGACTCGTCCCTGCTGTGTGGCAGATGGTCCGGGCGGAACCATAGGGAGAAAATCGGCGTCCACGTGGCCTTCGACCAGGTTCTGAACATCAAACCGTACTGCTGCACCGGCTCAGGTCACTCCGTCCACAGAGGGGGCTACACCTACGACCTGTCCGCTGTCGTTATGCACCACGGTAAAGGCTTCGGCTCAGGGCACTACACCGCATACTGCTACAATACAGAAGGAGGTGAGCAAGGGACGGGATTCGATTCGGACCGGAGCTTTAAAGTCTTGCGGTCCCGCGGTAACATCCCCCCACCCCCTCCCCCTCTTTCTATCTTCAGGTTTCTGGGTCCACTGTAATGACTCTGAGATGAAGGTTTGCAGCGTGGAGGAAGTGTGCAACACTCAGGCCTACATCCTCTTCTACACCCAGAGGTCCGCCTAGGTGCGTCTCGCTGGGATGTCGACCTGTTTGGGCAACTTCAGACTGCATTTATGGAAACGGTTTTTTTCGGATGTCATTGAGCAATGAATCTATTTTCTAAGAAGATAGCAGGGGGGCAGGAGGACAGACACCATCATGAGTTATGATCCAGATCCAGATCCAGTTATGATGAGAAAGAAGACGATGATATTGGTACACACACTGTAATGTTGCCACTGGAAATGAAAGCAAAAATATTTCAATGGAAATGTTAAAATAGGTGGCTTTGGATTTAGTTTGTTTTGTAGAGAGAAAAAAACAAGAAAGAAATGACAAACCTTTTCATAAATGAGGCCACAGCGTTCTTGGCCTTTTGGGACCAGCATATCGGTTAATGGGCCGACGCCTGCGTGAGCGGCTCCGTCCGGCTGTCAGCCTCATGGCCATTGAGTCTGCGAACAATCAGGCGCTCCCCCTGAAACAGCATTTCCCATTTAAAGGCCACATGGATTTTGAGTTTTAGAGCATCTCTACCACAATAATGTTCTTGATGTGCGTTTTATATGTAACCGTACATTTGATAGCCAATGCACTAAATATCAGAAGAGGTACTCGTTGTGTAGCTCGCCTTGAATTCATTTCATCTAGTGGCTGATGTCCGGACTTGACGTTGCCTCCTGTTCAACTTTTGGAGTCATATTAAAAATGTCTGTCACGGAACCTTTGAATGCTCATCAAAGCTCATTCCCGTGTGACGCTTGTGGGTCATCATGTCCTCTCCTCAATTGTACTGCTTCGGCCTTGGTGCGCTCAAGAGAACAGGAATTATTTTGTAGTCATTCTATGTTTCACGGCCATAAACACGCGTGATTGATGAGTGACGGAAAGCTGCACTTTTGAGGAGGGGCGACTGTTGTTGGTCCAATCTTTTGTGATTGTTCATCTTGAAGCTCCTGTATCTGGTTTAAATGGCAACTCCCCCTGCGGCCCAACGGTTCGGTAGTCTGAGGGAGGGAGACGAGGGAGAAAGGGCCGACTGCGATACAGAAGAATGTACCTGTTGTGAGTTGAGCACCCGAAAGCAATATATTGTACATCTCTCATCTCGACAGGAAATTAAGATAAAATCAGGAATTCTTCTGCTTTTTTTTCTACTCTGCTGTTTCTATCAAGGTCTTTTAGAATTTGCTAGGTAATCAAGAAAAACGGTGGCGTTTCATACGAGTCAAACGCAGAATACATTTGTGAACCTTTTATGTAAAAGTTGGAACAATCTAATGACGATGAATGTCTTATTTTCAGTGGTCCGGTGTGGCCATGCTACTGGCTCGGACCCCTTTGAGTTCTGTCTTTTACTGTAAGAATACCTGTCATAAATGTAATGGTGATATGGGTTTTACCAGACGGTGATTATTAAAAAGAAAATTTTAGAAGAGTCTTGTGTTGTATTCATTTTAGAGAAAAAGGTTCCTTCAGGTCATGAGCATGTTGTATGTAGCTGCACTCATTGTCATCTATGTTGACAGCATTAAAAGGTTTAATTCAACTAGTCAAAGGTAATTACTGGCTCTTATCAAAGGCCTAAAAACAGAATTATATACCATTAAAAAAATATATGCCTAATTTGAAGGTGGTACCATGAAGTGATGGAAAATGTCACTCTCTCCCAGTCAACCTTCAACATTTTAGTCTAAAAGTCTGTGGCTGTATAGAAGGTCAGCTCGACACATGGAATCATTTATTTCTTACATTGTTTAAAACAGCAATCATTATTTTTTGCAAACTGGATATAAACTTTGATACAATTTGACATGCCATTATTTTCATTTGACACTGGTCCGTACCAGTTCTACAATAGTGATTAGGAAATCGCGTTTATGCACAAAGCAGATTTTACGTGGTGGAATTATTACTGTGAATTTGTCGCGGCTTATTTTATTCACCTCACTTGATTTTGAGAAAAAGACAAGAATAATGCGTCTTAAAGCACTGCTTCCACAGGATGTAAGACAACATTCTGCACTCCTGACAGCGAAACGGCAGTTAATGAAGATTTATTAGTCATTAAGGAAATGTTAACTCATGCCGGCTAGATGCATCTTAGTGCACACAACATGCATGAGCAATAACATTCATGAAAAAAACATTTCCTCTCGAATATAATATAGCTTCAACATGAAGGCAAACATGATCAGCATTTTTAATTATTAAGTTGCTCTAGTCTTTTTAATTCATGTTTCATAAATATTTAGAAAAAGACGATCCAAAGATTCCTCAGTTTTTGGTGACAGCAATGTAATTGGTGATTGGTCATCAACACCAGAAGATATGGGCGAGATGAGATGATGTCTTCCGTCTCTTAACTGGCAAGCAGAGGGGTTTATTTTTGTCCTTTTTCACTGTAAACAGCTGTGAGAAAACTCTGCACGCACAATCATGTCCAAATCCGTCCAAAAGTGCCACGATTTTCATCTGTGCAGAGGGCCCTCGTTCTATTTCGGCCACTGGAGTCTCTCTGGGGAACTTCAGCTGGGCTGCAGCCACGGCTCCACAAAGTCCCACTGCTTCCACAGGACGAACAGCAGCAAGGTCAGCAGGACGGTGGAGGCCACCCGGCCCCGCGTCTTCATCAGCGGCGTGATGAAGTTGGCCAAGGTGGAGACGAACACCAGCAGCACGGCCATCAGCGCCAGGATGACGTTGATGAGTTTTCCCAGCAGAGCGCGCGCGTTGGCGTTCTCCACTCCCTCCAACTGGACGACCTGCTGCTGCTGCTGCTGCAGCTCCAGCTTGGTGATGCGAGTCAGGCACGACTCCACGGCCTCCTGCGTGCACACACAGTAACGTGGGGGGTCTTTGGTATTAAAGGCCCTCGAAAACTTATATGTGGAATTTGACTCCAGTTACTCTTCGGTTACAACATGTATACACAGTACATACAGCAGAGGTGAACATTTAATGACCATACAATACAAATATATATCTAAAAGCATATATATATGAACATTTACAACAAGTGAGGTGAAATTGAGTGCAGAAAGTAGTGCAAATTTCATCTGATACATATACGTGTTGCACACACCTAATGGCACCAATCACGCTTTTTAATTACAAACTAGCGACAGTTGGTGGGTTGATGGCTGTATGTTTTACTCTTTTAATATCACAGATAATTAAAAGGGCTTAGACGTCGACAACAATGCACCTGAATGTCTCTGGCTCTCTCGTAGGACTGGTAGGCAACTTTTTCCTCCATGCTGGCGAGCTCCTGTTTAAGGTTGGTCATCTCATTCTGGTGGAGCTCCGTCAAGTCGTTCAGCTGTTCTTCAAGCCGCTCGTACCTGAACATACCGTACAAACACACACAAGACGTTGAATGACTCGCACGCACACCAAACGTGTCTCATTCTGCAGATGAAAATAATCCCTGAATAACTATCATTTTGACTCTTGTTTGACTTTTGCGAGTCCTCTCAAATGGTCTAGGAATAGACTACGGATGGTTTTGTCTTCCGAGGGAACTTCAGGTGAAGACTGTATTGAAAACACCAGAGTTCATAAGTGTCTTTCTTCTATTGTGTACCTGTATCTTTCTTCTTGCAGGCACTGTGTCATGTAGGAGTAGTCGCTCTGCAGCTGACCCTTCATGTCCTCCATGGCGTCCTCCATGTGCGCCTGACTGGCTTTGATCTCCTGCAGCCCCTCCAGGAGAGAGTCCCAGGAGCTGTGCATGTGATGGTGGTGGTGGTGGTGTCCGTCCAGCCTGGGGCTCCCCATGTTTGGTCCTAAGAGTCCTCCTCCTCCTCCCCCCCCTGCACCACCTGAATTACTGCCTGCCGCGGAGCCCGACGTGGCGCTGGAGCACTCGTCGTCGCTGCCGTACTTTGGGCTGGAGACCAGGGTGGCACTTCCACTGAGCGCACGGGGCGTCAGGGTGTCCTCGGAGTGGCCCCTGACTCCGTCCTCGAGTGAGTCCTTCAGGTGAGTGATGTTATCCGCGCTGCCGAACTTGTTCCTGATGAGACTGGCAAACTCCCTCGGCTTGGAGACCACGGCTTTGTGAGTAAGGGCCGTTACTCCACCTTTGACCCCTTCGACCACTCCACCTCCGAAACCACTTATGCCAGCACGAACATTGGCGCCGACGTCCTTTAATCCCTGCTGCATGTCCCGCAGGACATCTTTAGGCTGCCGGGCCGGTCCATTCTGTAGAGAGGGAAGAGAAATGAGGAAGCAGAGAGGATCTCAAAGGTCGGAGAGATTGGGTTAAGGGAGAGAACTGCAGGGAGAAAGATGAGGAGAGCAGACCCAGTGGAGAATTGAGGTGAGACACGGGATGATGCATTGGTTTAGGAGATGAGAATCATCAGTCTATATTTGGACACAACTGTCCTCACATGTTTGAGTTAGCCTTGAGATAATTATTCAGGGCCACAGTGAAACTAACAGCGACCGACAAAGACGCCACGTGTTCGTACCACAAGCAGCGGCACACACTCGCTCACCTACCTGCTCTATCTCCTTTAGCTTTTTGTGGTAGTGCTCTAGCTTCTTGTGCAAGTGTGCGATGGTCTGCGCAGACTTCTGGTTCTTCTTCTCAAACACCTGCTTGATCCGGGACGCCTGCTGCTTGTCCGCGTTGTGGGCCAACTTCAGGTACTCGGCGACGTTGTCGTCGCGGGCCTCCTGCTCCACGCGAATCTGCTCGGTGACCTTTAGGACCTTCTGCTGCAGATGCTCCAGGGCAGCACGCGTCCGCTGTGGCTCGCCAACCCCAAAACCCTCCGCACCCCCGCAGGCCATGACCCCAGACGACGCCGACACTGCTGCTGCTGATGCTGATGTTGATGATGATGCTCCTGCTGCTGCCGTGGCCGGCGCTGCGTCCGCACTGATGTTACTGTCGGAGCCTCCATGGCTGGTGGTGGAGGGGAGGCCTAGAGTTGCCACCTCGCTCTTGTCCAGCTGAGGGGAGGACAGAGGGCAGAGGGCAGGGGGATGTAATCAGGGGTGAGGAGAGAGTAACGCAATGCACGGTGGTGTATTGTTGACATGACTTTCCTCAGGAAGAAAGGAATTGTCGTATGTACTTAAATCTACTCACATCAAAGTAAAAAGGACAATTATTTAGAGTGACAGCCAGAGTGAAAGTGTCCCATCCTAATTGCAATTATTTGTGCTTTCTTTTAAAAAAAAAAGCCAAAGTCAATTTTAAACTTGCATATGGAATAAACATCTGATGGCACCAAAACAGCAACAAGCTGCATGTAATTGTAATTTAATTATATCTCAATATTTTCAGAGAACTCATAAATACGGTCAAATACTGTCGACTGAGTGTTCAGTTGGTGCAACTTTAATTCATTTGTTTTAGAGTGATCCACAAAGTATTTTAGTCAAGAATAGCAGGTCAGCTTAACATGTAAACATGCAACTCCAAAAATGTTCTACATGAACAACCACGTATTCACTCAATTGGCTCAGTTTTTTAACAAATGCTGATTATCTCAACTAACAACCATACAACTCTAATCTTTCAATATATTTTCTCTTATATTCTCATTAAACGAGTGAGTGAGTAGGAAGGACACTTTTAAAAATAAATACTCTTAATCAGTCTGGCTTCTGAAATGAGATTCAGTCAATTATGCCTATAATTGATTTGGTGGAGGCATCAGAGCGGACCCTGAAAGGCCCTCATGCATTAATTAGATGATGCATAATTCGTCTGCTTCCTGCTCTGCAGAGCCTCAAAAACTGTTACTTAAAAAATGCTAAAGTTATACAGAGGGAAAAAGAACAACCCGCATGTAGCTGCACCTGAAATGATAGTGATCTATATTGTGTAAATAAATATAAATATCTGTGAGTTCTGGATCGTTCTTCTGTCTGATGGATCCATGAGGGATTTCCCTTGAATGTAGGCTGTCATCTCTATGTGTATCCTGGCAGATGGCCGGATTGTTAATGACGTCGAAACAGTGTAATCAGACCCTGCAAGCATGAGCTCAGAAAGACACATGACAACCACAACAAAAATCTCATTGCTCTGCTCTAATTCATCCGGTGCAACGGATTTATTTAATTACGCGGTATAAACTATCAACAGCGAAGCCAGGAAGGCGGTGTTACCTTTTTTTTTTATAAACAAAAGTAGGTTTCAATCACATTGTAATGGAGAAAGAGAGAGAGAGAGAGAGAATAAAAACAACAGAAGAGTGCAGCCCCGGGTGGGAAATCATTTTCTGATCTCGTAGAAGTGATGTGTGTATGCAGCAGCGATACGCAATGGCTGATAGGAGGAGGGAGGTGCAGTGTCCAGTGTTACATTATGGGTGAAAACAAACAACACGGAGCAGATGGTCAAGACTAACGGGGATGAATCCGGTGATGGATAAAAAAAATGTTAAAAAGCCCTGGAGGTCGGAGGAGAAGGCTTGTGATGATGATGATGGATGTCTATGGCATTAACAAAAAAAAAAAAGAAGAAAAAAAAAGGAGGACAGGTCACACGCCCATCTCTTCTGCACTCGGCAGGAGGACACACTGTGACATGAGACGGCCGATGGACGCCACAAAGCGTGGATGCAGACGCATGAGGATGAGACACAAGCAGCACAGCAATAAATTAAATTAGAAACGTTACCATACTGCTTTAATCCAATTTTTGCAGTGCCATTGCAAGTCTGTGTTCGAGGCCCATCCTCCTCCTCCCGCCTCCTCCTCCTCCTCCGCCCCCAGAGCTCACCGAGGAGGAGCTCCCTTCCTCAAATATCTTTGCCCCAGCCTTTATATGGCTGACTATCACCTCACTGGTTCCTAACGCTCCATTGTTAAAGCCATCGATATCTGCAGCCTCCCTCTCTTCTACTCCCCCCCCCCCACCCCTCCTTCCTCTCCCTCTAATGCACTGATCTATTCCTCCCTCTCTCTCCTTTGTGTCGCTCTGTCTCTCTCTCTCTCTCCCAGTCTAAATGCAAATGCTGTCCTGGCCTTTAATGGACGTGGGAGCTAAGGGGCAGATGATGGAGGGGGAAGTGGGCGGGGGGATGGGAGCACTTTGGCGCAGGCGCGCAGGTGCCTCCGTGGCCAGAGGAGATAAGGGGGGGGAGGGAGCACGGCAGGGGCTCGCTCCCTTCATCCCCCCCCCTAAACCCCTCAATGCACACACAAGTGACGCGTGTGCGTGCTGATGTGCAGCTGCAGGGATGTGGTGCCAAAGCACACAGTGTCTGGCAGAGCTGTGACTCACTCTCTTAATTTACCTTCTTCACCGAGGAGGAGGGGAGCGTATCGCTGCAACAATAGAAGCCTGTTTGAGCCGCTTGAAGTCGCCCTCATCCGACAACCGATCCGTTTCTGCGCCGGCGTGTGCGTAGAGGGATGCCATCTTCACAAGGAAGGGCGACAACATCTTAGAAGGAACCTGAAATGTATTTCAGAGTAAAAAAAAAAAAAGGTAGCTTTCATCTACTGAGGAGTTGTATAAAAGTGCAGGTGTCTATTTGAAGGTAATGAACACAAGTATCATCAGATAAATGTACTTTGCATAAAAAAAGCACTGTATTGCTTTGTTTATTATTGGTGTATGTGAAGCTAATTTTAACAGTACAGAAAAATATCTGCAGTTGGCAAATAAATGAAAATTAAAAAGTGATGGTAAAGTCACACCCGTGAACCAATTAACCTGAAGTATTTAAGTGAATATACTTAATACATTCCTTCACTGCTCAAGGGTATTTTAAAACATGAAAAATATCACGAAACTATAAATACGGTAATGCAATGTTCTATATAATAGGTGTAATGTATTCTTTGTTGTTTACCATCCACCAGCTGGCTGAAATTGTACACGAGAGCACTATAACGCAGATACTAAACCTTAAAACAAAGAATCAATACCTCTGGCCTGACACTCGGGGAATCAGCTAGTCAAACATTTATCGACATCGTCAGCAGCATCTGAACACTTTCACCAATGTTGCTGGTACATAGAAACACGATATAAATGAATGGAAGGATAAATCTAAGCAAAGACTACAAATAAAGAAAAGCATTCACAAGTGTCATTTGTACATTTATTTTTTTTATTTTTGGAGTGTCATAATAATGAAACAAAATTAACATGAGTCATTATATCTCACAATAAATAAGGATATATATTTTCATTTGTAATTTAACATAAATATGTAGGACCTGTGAACAAGCATTCGCTAACCGAAAGTGCTTCCATTGTTTCGGGTAATACTGGTAATTGCTAGGCTACTATTAGCTCTACAGAGACCTTGTTCGACACCCATTCAGATTAACTATAGCAGCGGGAACAACCAACAGAAACAAACGTTTTTAGAGAAGCAGATAATACACACTGTCTATTATGATTGCACTATGCGTCCTATTAATAAAAATAATAAAGCATTTAAGCTTAGTAAATTATGAATTTGCTTCTGGAAACCCCCCTCTTTCCGATTGTCCTTTAAGAAGCGTCAACTACCCAAACAAATGAAGCCCCCTGCAGGTCTGCCCTGTAGGTCAATCCCCGAGGCAACGCCTGCAGACCACCTGCCACTGGGGGAAAAATCACGTCGGGACTGCAGAAGCTGAGGAGGAAAACTCGGTGGTGCCAATAGCGATGCTTACTAACAGACACATTTAATTTAAAAGCAACCCTGGCTGACTCCGATCAGTGCAGGTCACCCGAGTGAGGGGATGACTAAGAATGTGTGTGTGTGAATGTGACAGATGAGAGCTGTCGACTACTACGAACCCCCCCGGACCTTGATCCTGGGTGCTGTCAGCTATCCGATGTGCAAAACTTGATTTCTTTTTTTCTGATCACGCTATATAGTTCTGTATTAAACTCCTTTGATACATTTATGATACACATATTTGTATATAAATAAACTCAAATATATGTGTACCAAACACGTGCAACTGCACGTACAGGATATCCAAACTCCTCAAACATTCTTCTATGAGTACAAGATAGTAGAAAAAACTGTATTTAAATATATTAAGTATAACACATAGAAACTCTCGCCATCATGATTCACACAAAAAAAAATATCTTAAAAAATAAATAACTAGTGGATTTGAACAGAAGAGCTTCATGCAGTCGCTGCCATTTTCAATCTTGAGATTTGTCACAGCTGCTCAGTAATGATTGTGAAATCTGAAAACTGTATACAGCAATGTGTTCATCCATCACTCAGGTAAACAGTCTCTACGAAGTAGCAGTGTTGCGAACGAACACTTTCGCATCACCGCGATCCAAACCAGAATAAATCCATTGATAGAGAGATTACAGTTAATCTCCACTACTCAAATGTCCCCCTCTTCCCACTGGGAAGCACTAACCCACCGAATTAAATACAGAACACTAATTAACCGTATAGCTACATGATACAACAATTGCAGAGGTCCCTTGTTTGTTTTTCTTGAAGATTGCCTGCTGGTGATTGGCTGCACAAAGAAAGTTCTTCCTGACAGCGGGGCTGTGGGCGAAAATCACTCGCCGGACTTGCGTGGCAACCCAACCACTCGTCTCTTAGCGTGATAGAAATCTGTTGAGATGAAACACCAGTAGGATTAAGCTCATGCAAATCCACACGCATTCAGACTGAGGGTGTGTGAACTTGGGCTGACAAAATTGCTCAAAAATTACGTTTGAATATTTGCTTTAAAAAACACTATTATTATTTAAGTTTAAACATATGTAAAAATATATGTGAACACGTACCTGTTATGTTTGTCTGTTTCCTCTTCAGCCCTGTGTTATCTCTTCTCCTTGGCGTTTCCTCCAGGTTCTGCTGGCTGGGTGAGCATCCCTCTGGTGAGCATGGGGCGTTCTCCTTCTTGTCCTGTGGCTTAACCGCCGCCCCCTGACCTCCAGCCCCCTGACCTGCCACCCCCTGACCTCCATGCATACAAGATCTGTAGAGCAGCGGCACGTTGGTGGCCGGGACGCCCTCCCACTGGAAATCGCTGTTCTCCAGAGGCTTATCTGAGAGGAAGTCGAAGCCCCAGCGATGGCAAGCGGCCTCCAGGTCGCTCCGTAGGGCAGCTCGGTGCTCCACCTGCAGCTGCTCTCTGTCGAGGGGGCCGAACAGGTTTCGTCGGGCGGTGCCGTTTCTCCGGGTGCTCATGGTTACCTCGTCACCAGCCATCGTTCTACACTGCAGGTAACAGAGGTCAAGACCGGTGGGTTAGTTGGAAAGTCATGATGTAACTCTTCTCTTAGTCATCAAAAAGTTCGCCAAAAACATTTGAACATTGAATCAACCAATGGCTGCTACTCTATTTTTCCAGACAATATATCAGATCATATTTCACGGTAAATTAAAAAATTCCGCCATATAACAAAAAATAAACATTTTAATCCATGCTAAAAAAAACCATTCTGAATCAACTAAACATAAAGCTGAAGGTATTCTGTTTATGTTGTATTTAACCAACTCAGTTTTAAAAGTATAAATTCTCTTACCATTTCTGTAACCAGTTAAAGTCTCCTCAAAGTGAACTACTCATCTGATCAACTACTACTGCATCTCAGACTGGCGATACTGGGCAGCTCTTATAAGAGCCCGAGCAGCCAGTGACTCATGGAGCCCTCCAGTGTGAACCACTGGTACATGTCTGGACATAATCTCAGACAGACATGTCACGGCAAGTCCTCAGCCGGGGCCGTGATCGCTGCAGGCCGCAGAGGGGCCGCTGGGTGACGCTGTCACCACGGCGACGTTCAAACGCCACATCAAAGAAGAAGGTTGGATTAATTCATCCTATTGTTTTATTTTTAAATCGGTGCATTTCGGGTCTAGATTATCATATTGGACTCACAAAAAGGAGTAAATGTCTTAAAGTACAGGGGCTGAGTGGTAAAGGCACTTTCTTTCAGCTGTGTCTCAGGAGAGTATTAGATCATTGTCATCCGGAAGTGCTGGGGAGGATTCTCATCCCACCCTAATTACCCAGTTGACACACTTCCCGATTCATTTGGTATCATTTACCAACAATTAACCAAAGAAAGCTGTGGCGCAGATTTCAATTCATATTTAGAAACAAGAATATGTTAACAATGGGAAAAAACGTCTGCTTTAAATGTGAGATCACGTGAGGGAAAGAAATGCATATTGTGTCTGTTGTAACATTACTTGCAGTCTTAAAATGACAAATAGTAAATAGTGTACTTGACCCATCACTACGTTGTTGTCCTTATTGTATTAAAACACGACAGAGAAAATACGTCAAGCTGTCTCCATAAAGTTAAATAGTTACATTAAAAATAAGCCAATAAGCCTGAGACACCATTGCTTCCCCCTCCACCGCCTCAGGGTCTCACAACGTCACAGTGAGATCCGGGCGAGGCGGAGTGATTCAAGTCTGTGGCGGGAGAACGACGCCCACCGACAGGGGCTTGACGAAGGACAGCCAGCAGCAAAAATAGATCCTGACCGGCTTACTACGCCGCTTAACGTGAGAATGCCACAACCCCACACACGTAAAGGTAACTGACAAGAAGCCATTGGAGTTTTAAGTGATAAACGGAGACCTTTAAAACCGATAAATCCACGCAACGTCGACAAAACCTAAAGAAAAAAAATGCGGGCATAAAAGTGGTTTATTACGTTAATTACAACTAACACAAAACCACCAAAGCGCTGCCATTAGTCCACTTACATTGAGTGAGTTGAAAGTAGTCCAGCTCAAATCCGCCTGATTCAAACCTGTCGGGTGAGGCTGGTCCGGTGCGGCTGACGTCATTCCACCACTCTTATAAGACTTAAAGCCAGTAGTGGTAAATAGTGCCCTCTAATGAACTCCGCGGGGCTGAGGTTATCTACTCGCGTAGAGAGGTGGAGTCTGACTACACTAATATCCGAAGCCTCGCCCGGTAAACACTCGAGTACACGTGAGAGGAAATCCATCCCGGGACAACGCAGAAAGAACCAAAGAGCACGCGCAGCCCCTCCTCCGGTGACTCAGTGCGCATGACAGCGTGCGGTAACCCGGATGGGGTTGTGCCTCCTCCCATTTCAGCTCAGGCACGTAATCAGCAGAAGTCACAATTTTTAATCTAGTTTATAAACCACAAGTAAAACACAAACCACGGTGGAAAGTGTTTTTGTCACTATTTGCCAGATTGGCAGTTTCCCCTTTTCTATATTTTAAAATGAACTAGGCCGAATTTCTGGCTTCAGACTCATACTTTACAAAGTAGCGTTGTCTATACTTTACCGCCTATTACGAATGTTCTGATATTTAAAAAAAAGATATACAACTATTCCTTTTAGGTATTAAGTCTACTAAATATTGTATTAAATCAATAACTTGCGTCTCAAATTAACTTAGTGGGACAAATCTAAAATTAGCTCCAATAAGTGGTGTCTTTTCAGACCAGTCACACTATGTGTTAAACAGGTTTCCAGGGTGTGGAAATAACATTGGTTTCTGGGTGGATTTCTGAGAGTTCCTCCACTCAAGACCCGTATCCATGGATACAGTGAGTCATCGCTCCAATTACATCATCATGGCACAAGTAAACAGAAAAGCGCGACCAAAAGACTACTGAATCATGCGTGTTAAATATGTGGCTGCAAATGGTAGTTTAAGAGATTTACAATGAACATCTGAGATTTCAGAATAAACTCAAACCTGCTTCTAGACTCTGAATCCTGTTGGGGATGGATGAGTCGAATTAAATACGAACATGGAGTCAAAAATTAGATAAAGTCAGAAATTCAAGTGTGACTTAGTTAGAATCTTAAGATGTAAAAAAACAAAACAATACCTCATATTACATTACGTACAACTACTGATAAAGTTAGAGCTGTAAACCTATAGGGGGAAACAATTAACTCCTAGTACAGAGATTCTGTAAACTGCCCTCTTGTGAAAAAGAAAATACAAAATAATGTAAAGAAAATAATGTAGAGTAAAATAAAGAAAAGTTAACACAGGCCTTTTGTAATCAACTGGTTTCTTTAATTCAGAGACCATTTCGCATTGTATCAAACAAAAGAAACATGATAAACGTCAACAACCAAAAACATATTTTTTCTAAGTCTATGCCAGTTTTGAATCTTGGATATTTTTCTTATTTGAAACAACCAACCTTTAATAGATGGAAACCTTCATTGTGAAGTAAAAAATGTTGCACATTGAAAATAGGTTGGCTTTACAAACAATCGAAAAAGATGTTTTCTTCAAATCATCCCAATTTGTACTGAATAAAAAAGAAAAAGAAAGCTGGCATTGAAAAAGAGGAACTACTCACACTATGTCAAACTTCAGAGTACATTCATTGACAAAAAGCAAAACACTTAAGAGATTAACTTAACTGGAATGCTGGGTGGCACAACTGTTGCAGGACAGACAAGATGGACTTAGGCATCACACCTGTGCTCACCCACTCAATGTGAAAAATATAACACGTTTAGGGGAAGGGACACTAAAACGCTTGATTGTTAAAAAAAAAAAAAAAATCCACTAAACAGTGACACAGCCATGTGTAATTCCATCGTCTGAAACGGCCATGGCTGTACAACCGTCCATCTTCGGCTCCCTTTACACCCGGCGGGTGTTCTATTTTCTGTCGTTGGACCTGGAGCGGCTGCAGAGTGAAAAAACCCAGAGAAAAATATTTAACACCACACTCAAACAAGACGTATGCTGCTTAGTCATGCATGGACGTCTTCCGGCCAGCTGTCCTCTGTACAAAAAAGTACTCTGCAAATACTTTTCCTTAGGCGAGTCTTACTACTGCACCTCACATCAAACCGTTGAATATCTGTTAGGATACAAAACTACATTTATCATCAGATAGCTCAAAAGACATCATCACCTCCTTGATCGCGAGAAGGACCTTGAAGGTTTGTGGTTCCTGTCCCGGGAGAGGGACCTCTCCCTCCTCCTGTCCCTGGAGAAAGACCTAAAAAGACACCACCACATTAAAAGGAGACATTCCACATGTTCTTCTACATACTATATGGATTTCTAATCTGTTTTCCATCTGGCAAAATACCTGAATGTATATCAAAATCTCGCAGAAAGAGTGTCACCAGTATCTGGCTTCATCGGATATGTAGACCAACTTAATAATTAAATATATAGTGCAATGGAGGTCTATGTAGTTAATTTGGTGGTTATCACCAATAACTTGCCGCTTCCGGTTTCTTGGGACAACGGCCGGTGGTTACAGATAGAGACTAAATGTGCATTAGTTTTAGAACCTAAATCACTCCAAAATGTCGAAGGATAATGTAATAATTATATACAATCAAAGATACAGCGGTGATTACCAGACATCTTGAAAGCTACATACCTGCTTCGACTGCGGCTAAAGCTCCTCCTGCGTGGGGATCTGCACAAGGAAAATACAAAATGTTAAGAACATACGCAGACGCATTATGCCCCGTAGAGCTCCATACTACCCAAATACGGTTCTTACATGGGCTTCCTTGAACAAAGCCCTTTGCCTAGCTCAATTACTCAAATGGGAAATAAAACACGTGTTTTTCAGAAACACAATAATCTCAATAGGAAAACTCACTGACAACTGACCGTGTGCAAAAAAAGGTCAAAAATGATCCTCACCTATCCCAGTGCATTGAGCATCTATCCAGAAAGTCAGTGTATGTTATGTTGAATATATTAACTTGGAATGGTAGGGTAGGATGTGTTCTACGTCCTATGAGTGGACCTGTTTTTTTTACATGGTGTCTGAGCTGATGAGAAAACCATGAGAGCTCACAAGCAACATTTGCAACAAAGGTGCTGTAAAGGATTTCAACGCTGCACTGTGGACTGAAAGCAACTAAAACCAACCACAGCACCCGTTATGTTCTTTGGATGGTTCAGGAGAGTTTTGATATGTCTTGATAATTCTACTCAAGCCCCAACAAATACCATACAGATGTTCGTCTATAGTGGACATCTCTGGAAATCTCTAGTTCGGTACAAATAATAATTAAAAAAAAAACTATAAAAAAAACGAACAACCTTCTCAGACCAGCTGTCTCTTCACTTTCAAAACTGTAATCATCAGTGTACTGAATGAAGCAGGAAAACTTACTAGTATTTTTGGTTTTCAACAAGCTAGATATGACGAAAGGGAGGCAGACTGCCGGCCGGGTAGGTAGGTAGGTAGAATTGGCTGAATAGGACTGGCCAGATGCTGCAAGGTGTTTAGGTGGCAGGCAGATGGGGGCTGGCTGTGGCTTTTGTCCTGCTTTAATTGGTTAGCCGAAGGCTGCTGTTGGTAGGTTGTAGACATTTGGGAACGAAATACGCTGATTGGTCGGGAATGTGAGGTGGGCCGCTGCAGTTTGGATTAAGGTTGAAGGAGGAGGAGGTTGAGAACGGCATGCTGAGGAACCAATGGGTTGGTGCAACTTGACGACTGGCCATGCCTGGGTCATGTGACAGCACCAGCCAAGCTGATTGGTGCACGATGGTCAGCAGTCACATGATGCTGAAAGAGGACTAGTTGATTGACTCAGAGGATGGTGAGAGGAGGCATGGTGACGGCTCTGCAACGGGTTTCATTCTTATTAATATAGATGAAAAATAAAAGCATCCTCAAACAAAAGGAATAAAATGCATCACATTTGGCACTTTTATCCCCCCAACAGATAATACTTTTTTTAAACCACTACTATGTAATCATATTTCACACCTATTTTGTAATTTTCAAGCAGTTGGATTACACTAACGTTTTGAGGGTGCACAAAAGTATGTACACTTAAAAAGATGCATTGGGACTGAAAGCAGAGGTTTTACAGGCCAAATTTTAAGATGCATATACAATACAAATACTACACGCTCTAGTAATGTCCCATTCCCATGTTATATTTCATTAATTGGTAATGATAAATTATAAAGTCTGTTTGACCCGCATACATAAATATTATAAATGAAGATGAAAATACTATAAATATCAGCATAAATGATTAAAAACTAGAATCTACCACACTGGAAAAACAGATGCTATTAACATAACATATACTTTGGGTAAGGGAGCAAAAACAGTAAGTCACAAGCAGAAATTAACAACACGAAATATATGTTGTCCCTGCTGGCCACTGTCAAATAATAACATGGGTCACCTTCGCCTGGCTTGTGGGCTACGACGTCTGTTGTCATCGCGGTCTCGAGGGCGCCTGCTCCATGGAGGAGGAGCGCCACGGGTGCGACTGCGCTTCTCACCATTGGACAGCTCTACTCGCACCCGGCAACCACACAGTGTCCTATTAACACAACCAGTTATAATTAACCACCAGAGCTGTATCCGGACAAATTACCAATGTATTTTCAAAATTATTCAGATGTCTGCCTACCTTCCATCGAGCTCTCGCACGGCATCAGTTGCATCTCTGGGATCTTCAAATTCTACAAAGGCGAAGCCTGGAGGGTTCCTGGCGACCCAAACGCTGCGCAGGGGGCCGTAGTAGCCAAATGACCTCTCCAACTCAGTTTTGTTTCCATTATTCCCCAAATTTCCAACGTAGACCTTGCAGTCAAGAGGACAGTCACGATGCATGTCCGGATCTGAAAAATGACAGAGGAAAATAGATTAATGATGCTGAATTGATTCTACTTGCAAACAGCGGGATTCTTAAATGTAAGATCAGATCACAATCCGGTGAGAAATATAGCTGCCGTT